GTTAAAGAACCCCAGGTGGTCTAAATTTCCGGAGCCCTCCACTACGGCGTCTCTCATAATCATATAGTGGTTTTGGGACGTTAAACCTCACATATCACTCAACTGCTGTGGTGCGATAAGGTGCGCCCATGCTACTCCCCTATACCCACTATGAAAAACCGGTTGGTTCGCGGTTGGCACTGGGAATCGAACCCGGTGTATACCGCATCGGAAGGGGACGATCTAACATTGTAGCCGCAGCGGTGGCTTCGTGGCTGAGCATTCGCGCGCTCTAAAGCGGCTGCCGCGGGCCTCTATACCAAGTGAGACCTGCAGAGTTTGCGTGTACGCCTTCCATACCGCAATGAACGAACGAAGATAATTTTGGCGAGAGGCATGTTTCCTTGTAAGACTCAACCGAATGAAGTCGACCGACAATCAGGCTAAGGAAAGCATATAGGACATTAATTGTGCCCCTCAATTGCATTGTAATAAGGACGCAAACTGAATCAAATCGCAATGGAAGAAATATCGTCCTTTCCGTAGGTGGGACCCGAACCTATAGCACAACCTTCGAACTACACGTCTGACGCTCTATACCTTTTCGCAATGTCACTCTTTGTGCGCCTTTTGCCAGAAAACGTACGCTATCTGTCTCGGCTCCCTGGTGGTTGTTATACTTCTCAAACTGATCGCGCCGTCGTCCCATTTCTCAGAAATAGTCACTATCGCGCGCCTTCTGTCTCTTTCTTTCGATCGCCCTTTCTCTTTCTTCTCTGTCTCTTTTCTTTATCACGTTCCGCGAAAAGGCTAAGATCACACTGTGCTCGAAGTTTCGCGCTCAACCCAACCCATGATGGTGAGTTGTATACGCTATATAGCCCCGCAGTCTGTATTACTTACAAGTTGTACGTCGAGTGTCGGGAGGCCCCGCAGCTTTCTAAATTCGAATAGATTCCGTGGTTCTGCCGGTCTTTTGATTCGACACGGTCTGTATATAACGGAAGGGCGAAATATGTCATAACGTATATCGCGATATCGTTTCTTCGAAATAGCTGCTGCATGAGAAGCCGATGTAGAGTCGGCGACCCAGTGATTCTGGAGGATTTATCCGAATGCTCTCGAGTGATTGTTCTTAGCCGTTGTGCCTGCAGTGCACTCGCGCGTGGGCCATATAGAGCTGCCGTTTTGTGAAGAACAGATGTCCGTGACCATTCAGAAGAGAAGCGTATACGACGCGAACGAATGAGCACTCGATCAATGGACCTTAATTACTGCGACATACGCGTACGTATACGCATGCACATTTCACGTTTATTTGGACTGCCGGATCTTGATATGATATCCGTCGCTGCGTATAGGGGCTGCAGTTGCTTTTGTTTCTTTGGGCGATTATGGAATCGCATTGTACTTCTTGACACTCTGTGGTAGTCATCTTCGCATGCCACGCAAGCGCGGAAACCATCCGATCAGTCTGCCCCGAAGGCTTCTGGTTTGGACGATGCTTAGGGGAGGCAACTGCTTGTGCTACGATATGTTGAAAAGCTGGTGGAAATGAGTGCGTCACCTCGTCGCTTTTGGCAGCGCAATCATTTCCGTAATAACAGTACGCCGAAGAAAAAAAGAAAAGACTAGCATATTGGCGCTACGCACCCTCTTCTTGCGTCGTAGTTATCTCGTTTCTCATTACACTTGTTCCAAGTTTGAACGATGATCCCTCGGTGGCTGAGCTTCGGTTCCGAGGCGAATAGAAACGCGGGGGCGCTCGCTTTGAGGACAACATATCTTTTTTTTTCGAAAGCCGGATTTCCGTTTCCAGCGCGTGTGGGCGTGATCCAATTATTGTCGATGAAGAGTGATTTAAACGAATTATAGTGGGCGTGCTCATGCATTGTGTTCGTTTTGTGTTTTGTAGGATTTTTATTGGCGTTGCTTGTACTTTGTGCCTTCACCTCCTCTATAGCGAAATTGGGACGCGCGAGTAATTACATACGTCGTTTTACGTGCATTGACCAGGTGTCCTACTTCAACTCACAGTGTTCCAAATCTTTTACCTTTTTTTTTTGAAGAAATAGTACTCTTTCGTCAGGTAAGCTTTTCGAGTAAGCCGGCAAGGCCCGCTGAAATATTGTGCACCATCAGCAGCATCCCGTCCCAGCTCGACTTGCGATGACGTTCTCCCTTATAGAAGTGTGCAAAGATTAGAGTAATTCCGTCTGCGTAAAACTAATGGCAATAATCGCATATTAGCCGCGTATACCTCTCTCGCATCGACTTGTCTTTTCATTCGTAGTAATCGCATAATTAGCCTTGTATGCATCTCTCGCGTCCTTAACTTTTCATTCTCGAATTCACGCTCATATAAAGGCGCTCTGGTGAAAGCCTTCTCTCTATCTCTCTTTCCTCTCCCGCCGATCCTTTCGGGTTCTCTACCCTTCCCCCCCTCCCCCCTCTCTTCCTTGCTCTATGACAGACTGAGCGCGCCACGGTGAATGTCCCCTTATGTGTGAGCTTCCTGAAACTCGGCATGCGCGGAACGTCTTTCAATCTTGCCTCCCCCCCCCTCTCCCTGCAAATATGAGAAGCCTTTCTCGCGCGGCGCTTCTTCCTCTCGTCTAATTTCCCCGTTTAGCGGCGGTGCGCGGGAGCTCCGTTAATCGCTGTTTTCCTCTTCGGCTGATCATACGGTGTTCTTTTCTTTCATCTCCGTGCTCGCGGAACGGGATGATGTTCTGGCGTGGGTGCTATGAATAGCCATTCTCTCTCTCTCTCTCTCTGAAGTTGTATCTCCCTTTCCCCCCTTCTTTTTACCTTTTATTTAGATTTCTTTCTCTTTTTTTTCTCCTTCTTTTTCTAGTTCTTCTTCTGGAGAACTTCTCTTCCGGCTCCCGTCGTTCGGAGACATCTCTGCTCTGTCTCGGAAGACGAGTCTGTTTGCGTCTGCCGAGTTCAGAACTCGGATGCAGTGGTGGATATGGGTATACGGGGCTCGCTGAGTGCGATTCGTTGTTTTATACGCGGCGCTTTCCAGAAAGCGGCAAACGGGAACGCTCGTAAGAGCCGTCCAAGAATCACTTTAGCTCATAAAACACGGCCCTAGGCGATTCCTCGCGACTTGAGCGCGTTTTTTGTGTGTTTGCGCGAGAGTTCGGTTGTTCCTGTGTGAATAGAACGTCTACTCCGGAAGGCAGATACGTTAGGGCGAAGAGAGTTCGTCATATACAAAGCTACCGCACGCTTGTGTCCTCTTGCGTCTCTTTGCTTTTTTTGCTTTAAAAGCTCGCTTTCGCGTAGGTCTCTTGTTTGAGATGACGATAGCGCGGCCCCGAGGATCACAAGAGAGAAAGCGTGCGTGCGTTTTTATAGTTCTTGATGCTCTTTCGGTATTGCGCAGGTGGTACTTTTCAAAATGCACCCCGGTCGAAGTTTTCTTATGTATACTTCGTCTTTCAACGAATCGCAAAGAAAACGTGCAAGAATCTGCAGCTATATCGAGTCGCGCCTTTCCTTACGGGAATGTTTCTTTTCGCCCTGCATTTACCCGAACGGAAGATCTTGCGATTTTGCCCCCTTCATTTTGTTCTCGCGCATGTTTTCCGCTTAAGCCGTATAGGAGTTATATTTATCACAACTTGATTGTGCGAGTGCCATACGTGAGAAGATCCGTGAAAGGTTGGCCTATACACCCTTCGGCTTTTCGCTACCGCGAAGCCCTTAGTCGAAACTCGCTCCGAGTTCCCTCGCGCTCGAATCGCATGCTGTAATATATCAGAGCCTATATATGTATCCGGTGTAGTGCTTCGTTTTCTTGGGCTTCTCGTGTTTGTTTGTTTTCTTTTTTCTCTCGTTTCTCGTAAACGTTACGAATAATGCTCGTAAACATATCATTGCCGAAAACGGCCGCCGCGCCATTGCTGGCGTTTAGTACTTGTTTCTTTTTTTTTTTCGTCGTATTAAGCGGTTATTCGCTACCGCGTTTGCGACGACTTCTTTTCGCGTATTACGTGTGTATAGGTCGTGGAAGCGCGTATACAATAGGGGAAGTGGGGAGGGGAGGGGGGAGCTCTTGCCGTTTTTTGGAGCTCTCCGTTATACCTACGTGGATGATTTTCGTTCCCTCCTTCGTTTATCATTCCTTTCGTAGTTGCGCGCACGCGATGTGAGAGAACCGTGGCTCTCCGCGAAGACGTCGATGTAATGGGCTTCCTACGAAAGCGCAGACGCGAGCTCTCGCATTTTGGCGAGTTGGCCTGTTCGCGGCTGTTGTATAATTTATCGCCATTCGCGGGTATTTGCTCCGAGGCGATCGAGCTCTTGCGTTCCTTTTCACCCGTTACACCCGAAGGATCGTGGCATGGCTATACGGCGAGTGCGTTGCCACAGCGGCGAACGAGCGTTCGTTAGACGAAGCTGTGTCTAAGCGCAGCTTACTCGATAAGAAAGGTACTTTAATCGTGCGCGTATGTGTATACGCTCGCCCGTTGTCGCGGCATTGTCTATACGGCGACCAGTGCTTGCGGGGCTATATACATACCTATTACGTTCCTTCTGTCGCTAATTACTGAGCACGTAAGTATCGTGCGGCATCTTCTATGTTCTTGCGTGAATACCTTCCACGCGTCACGGTAACGACGTACCATGTTGCTTGTTTGCTTTTTCTGGCCTGTATATTATGCACAGATGGTGCGCGTGTTGCGAAGCTCACTATATCAGCACCTTAATAAGCTTTTTTTTTACTTATTTCTTTTTGCGTTTGGCTCACTTCGCACTTCAGTCTCAATTTTAGCGCGCGGCCCGCAAAACGTTTGGGCATTTGCGCGTTAACCCTTGTGTTCGGCTTATCACGTATGCAACACTGCGTTAAACGTTTCGGGAATCGCTGATATAGGCCCGGGAAACAGTTCTCCCGCGCCTATAGTCTATAGTTTCGTCATTGATACGGTGCAGGTTGTGCAGTCTGGTATTCAGATTGACCATGGTGGGGCGATTCAGTCACCCTTTTGTGCTTTGACGCCGTGCAGGCGAACGGCTCGGCCGGCGCGGACGACGTCGGAGCGCCGCCGGTGCGCGTGTGCATGCGACCCGACGCCGAGGGCCTGTTCGGCTTCAACGTGAAAGGCGGTGCCGACCAGAACCTTCCCATCCTGGTGTCCCGGGTGGTGCCGCACACGCCAGCGGACACGTGCACGCCCAGGCTGCGCGAGGGCGACCAGCTGCTGCTCATCAACGGCCGGGACGTGGCCGGACTGTCGCACGATCAGGTGGGTCTTTGCCTGTCTAAACCGTAGTGGCTTCTACTTTTGGGCTTACGCGAACTGCATAAAGGGGGAAATAGCGAATGCGTATACCTTGCAATGAGGACGGAGGCTCGTCTGTCATGGCCCTGCAGCGCGCTCCTAGTGTGGGTTCCGGAAGACCGGGAGAAGACAACGACGACCGCGCACCAAGCACGAGATGGTTGCGACTTGTTCTGGTTCGCGCGTTCATAAATGGCTTCAGACGAAATGCATAGCTAGTGGTCTTGTAGCATCAACATCTGTCGGCCTGATCCCCCTGCCTTAATGCTGGCATTGTTTTTTTCAATATCGTAGTGAAATCAAATAACAGTGCTTAGTGTGGACTAAGGTTTCGAGTTTAGTACAGTATAGATAAGTGTAGCGAGAATGTACATTCGGGTTAAGATGTAGAGTGTAGGGGTTATATACACGCTGCAAACAAGGTAATTCTTACACATGTGCATGCTCACTTCTCCATTGTCGCTGCCACACTGAGCGCTCACTTAAAATTAAAATTTAATTGGTCCAGCGAAGGGTCACTTGACATTACGCTAGTTGAAGTACTACAATACTGTGCACTGTAGTGTTATACTGACGATAAGATGACAAAGTCGCCGTGACTTGATGCGAACACTGTCCTTGGAGGAGCAGCTGCGTACAGCGATCTCTGATAGACCGTGCGGTATGGGCGTAGGCAAAAAGGGGCCCATGCCCCCCTCTAGCCTCACTAGCACTTATCTTTACCCAAGCTACACCACTGCTTTCCCCCTTTCCCAGTCGAGTTGCTGCACTTATTTGCATCCCCCCCCCCCCCCTTCTCGAAAAAAATCCTGCCGACGACCATGCCGCCCGGGTCGGCATTTCGTGTCTAAAACGTGTGCAGCATGGTCCGAGACGCCGTAAGCGTTTTCTGCTGCTCAAGAAATTGGTCCAATAGCACTGCGGCCAACTTAGGCTCACTCTCGATTGCTCACAGGGAGAGCGACCACCAGTCATCCCACAGCGTCACAATTCCCATCCCGCTCGTTTTCAGACTGAAGTCTAAGATAGTCGGGCTCTATAGAAGGAAGGTTCTTCGTAACCGAGTGGAGTGTTGGTGCGTGTTCGAATATTTCGTTTTATTTATTTAGGCCGTCTTTGGTTGACCCTGGCAACGCTAGACACACGCATTCCTTCCTTCCCTTCTCGTGGCGCCCCTGCGAGCGTTGGCGCCCAGGTGAATCACCTGGCTTTCCATCGATTCGGTCTCGTTGCACCGACCTACGTTGGCATCGATTCAAGCACCGCGACGCCGCCCCACCTTTATTTATTTACTTTTTTACACATGTGCGTGCGCGCGAAGCATTCGTAGCTTGGCTCATGTTCTCCCCCATCCGACGTGAATCGCAGGCCTCTCTCGCGAGACGTAGCGCGACCGAGCTTGTCATAGACTTCTTCCTTTCTTTCTTTCTTTCTTTCTTTCTTTCTTTCTTTCTTTCTTTCTTTCTTTCTTTCTTTCTTTCTTTTTTTTTTTGACAGCGCTCAGCGTCCCGCGTTCTAAACGTCGGCCGCGCGCATCATTCTGCGTAGTTCGAGACGAGCAGAGTAAAGTAGCATATATGTTCGCGCTCGCTGGTCGCGACTGAGTGCCAGGTGCAGCGTCGAGTGCTCACGTAGCTTTGAGAGGGACAGGTGCGGGTACGTGCCAATATAGTGGCCTTCGTCTTTTTGAGGAAGAAATGTATGAATGAAAGAATGTATTTTCTGCTTTGCTATGCGTTACCGCAGTTTCTAGTACTGCTCTTCAAATACCGATTGGCACACCAGGTAGCGTGTAGGGTAAATCCGAAGGTCAGCCAAGCGCAGTTAAAAACGTACAATGAATAAAAGGAATAAATAAATAAATATAAGACTATTTTCTCGCAGTGCTGCGCGCGCGAGTATGCTACACTGTGCAGGCGTTTCTCTCGCTGAACACCCTCGCTTTGCGTGGCTGCCCTCTTTGGCGGGCTAGTTTTCGATCGCCATTCTCCGTTGCTTATTTACCTTCCTTTCCATTGTGGGACCGCTCTCTTCCGCGTGCGCCGCGCTATTGCGTAACTTCCTTCCTCCTGCGGTTCGCATTTCAACGTGTGATCGTTGGCGTTCGCATATCGAACGCCTCGAGGGTCCTCGTCATAGGCCGTTGCGTCTCTTGCACGTTCCACCGCAACCGCGGCGGGTGATACCGCTTCGTGGCTGCACCTTAGTGGTGGTAGTTGCGTCAGTGCTGCCCTTGTTTGAGCTAGTTAGGGAGCGGAACCAGCGACGTCTATTTGTCCTGGCCCGGAGCAAATCAGAACCGCGCTTGGAGGCAAGGGGGCGCCCCCGCTGTCGCGAAGGGCCTGGCGGCAACGTCGAAGGGAGGGAGGGGAGTAAAAGGGAGGGAAAGGGGAGAGGCCCGCGGATCGGGCGGTTGAGTGTCCCGCTGCTGCCGGAGAGAGCTCTCGTCTTCGACGCGTGCGCCGACCGACCTGCGTGGGCGACCACCGCTGCGCGCGCCTCGGCTTGGGCCTCGCGTTGGTGCGGCCATGCCGAGCCTCGTTTCCTGCTTTCGGCCCGGGGCGACATGAACTGCGCTCGTGCGAGCGTCGCCTCGGCGCTGGCGTCGTGGAGCCGCCGTGTGCCGCCGTCTCCCGCCACCGCGGCGGGCGGCTGCTGCGTGCCGCGCTGGCTGTGTGTGTTGTACGTGCGACGACTGAGGCCCGGCCTGGCTCTCTGGATCTCGCAGGTGGTCAAGCTCATCCGGGCTCCCAAGGACAATGGAGAGCTCGTGCTCACCGTCAAGGCGCAAGGTGAGTACAAGGCGCAAGGAGGGAGACTGCTCACCTCCACGTTGTTTGTTTCTCTTATCAGTCTATTTTTTCGTTGTGGCCCGTACGAGCCAAAAGCGTAGAGAGATAGGGCGGCTAAAAATGGCAGTATGTCGGGCGTACTGGTTCACGGTCGTCGATACGAAAGGTGCTACCGATATAACGACTTGGATGCGCCTGCGTCGTCCTCCTTTGTTGTTTTTTGCTGTCTGGTTGATTCACTATTGCGCAGGTTCACCTTACTTCGTTTTTTTCCTGGTGTGGTGCGCCCCGATAATTACACAGGATGTTTGTGTGTCACACCATGACCAAAGTGTAAATTTTTGTCGGGCATCGCTTGAAACGAGACCTAGAGCTGGAATTCGTGCAAGCAGACTTGTACAGATACAAAAGTTTAAAAAGTCGTAGCTAATCACAAACTGTAGGGGCTACTCCTTATTGCGTGTTCTTCCTCTAGTTTCCCGTTCGTCTGTCCAAAATACCCCCATTCAGAATGGGAAGGTAGCTTTGCCTTTTTTCTCGTTGCACTTGGTAGCTTGAGCGGCATAGGTGTACTGCGGACGTAGATAGGCGTTTACTGTAATACGAGTTCACTCCGAAATACTAGTATATTTGTTGATTCTCGTGTAACGGCGCACAAAAAAGCTGACACTTTGCGTTTTCTTCTTCTTTTTCTTTTTATAAATAAAGAGGCACTTTATACTTGTTAACGTGACACGCTCACAAGGGTATATCCTAAGATAGTGTGCCTTGCTCTTAACTATTCCTTCCTTTTAAAAATTGGGATACTGAAGATGATTGTGATTGTCATTATGAAGATTTGAGGATCGTTCAGTGTACCCGTGCGCAAGGTCAGTTTTTAAACACTGCACGCTATTTTAAAGTGGCTTAAGAAATGGCGTGATCCTTTACAGTGATGTCGCACCGTTGTGTATGGAGGTTGCGCCGGCGCCCGTGACGCTTATAAGCGTGATCGTTCTTCGAGGGCCGTCCGTGACATACGAACTCATAATCACTATGCGTTCGGCGACTGTCGACGTTGCGTTTATTATAAGAGCGCCGAGACAATTGATATCGACAGTAAGGCTTGTACTCGGGGCGATGAAGCTAAGCACTCGTTTTATCTGTCCCGTTGCTACGAACGTGACCCCGTGTTTTTCTCCTGTTTCCGTAGCGGCCTTATCCTTCAGTACGGCATTTAACGTGCTTGTAAATAATGTTCGCAGCCAAGCGGAATGAAATAACAGCATCGACAGGCACAAAGGACGGCTCGGCGCGCTTGAGTTGGCTTACAGTACACTCTTAGAAGAAGAAAATGGAATGCTGGCATGCCACGTATATGGGGCTCTTTTTTAAAGAGACGCATCACCTGCAGTAGCAAGGATAGTTTGGTTAGTGGATATTGGTTTTTCTTTTAACTGAATAAGAGCGCGCACGCGGACACTAGAACAAGGCGCTTTGTTGCGTGCATTTTCTTGTTCTAGCGTCCGTGTCTGTGTGCGCGCCCTTGTTCAATTAACTGCCTTTTTGGTTCCCACGTCTCCCCATAGAGAGTATAGTGATCTCCAGAGAGAGTTTTTGTTGATCTTTAAAGGGAGTCATGTACGTGGCAAGTCGGAACTCACAAGAACGAGTCAATGACGCTTCTTAACGTGTATCCGTCCCTTTAATCTGACCGCGCAACGTGACGCGTACTTTTCGTAACCGATATAGAGATGTTTCGAAATTGAAATTGAGTGCAGTTAGTTTTCCGTAACGCGTAGCAAGAAGTTGAGTTTGCGTTACGTTATCAGTACGCACCTGGGAGGCTAGGGTGTTAGGCCTTCGAGCTGTGCTTGGTTGAAGCTTCACCAAGCCTCTACAGTCATGCCCTAATGCAAAAATTTGATTGATTGATTGATTGATTGATTGATTGATTGTTATGTGGGGTCACGGAGTGGCGTCCCTCTCTTGACGTCAGTATGTAAATTATATTCGCTAGACTGTACCGAAAGCAAAAACTCTCGCCTAGTTCAGAAAAGAGACTTCGCGACCTCCCTATGCTTATCCGGGTCTTGACTGATGGTGGCTTCGCAGTGAAGTTTGCTTTCCTTCTCTCATTCCCGCCGTATTGTTGTTTCTTGTCTTTTTTTTTTCACGTGCTCTTAGCTGCGTGCACAGTGCGCCTGCGCGAGGAGTGGGATGATCTCGGAAGCAGCGGCAACGAAACGCGGAAGTGATTTCTCCGACCCAAGACCGTGCGCGCGTAGTTGGGCTTCTCCTCTACGGTACTTTTTGTGCGGAGAAGCACGCTTTACAGGAGGGTTGTTACGGTGTCGGTTGCCGCTGCCGCTGCTGCTCCTACCGTCAGTGCTTTAGCCCGACGTCTGCGTGGGCGCGTATCGATCTCGGCAAGTGTTATGAGCCGCAACATCGGCTTCCGCAATCTCTTCCCCGCGCGCAGGAAGGGGCTTTAAAGCCGAAAAAGTTCGGATGGCCGGAAGGGCCGGAGGGGGAAAGGACATGAGTGTAGTTGACGTCGCCGTGCTTATAAAGAACGTGGGTAGAGATTCGATTTCGAGAGCCCCGTATGCGTAAATAGGCTCAACAACCAGGCTTTCGTCGTCGTCGCGTATGACTGCGAGTAGGGAGAAGGCAAACTTTTTCTTTTAAGGACAGCGTGAAGTGAGGCGGGTTCTGTTTTATCGGCGTTGTTTTAACGACCTTTCGCTCTGCCGTATCTCCGCGTCGGGTTCGGTGACAAATAACACAAACAATACCGAGAGAAGGCAGCGAGTAACTGGCATATTTCCTGAAACGAAAATGACAATAATAATGATGAGCGGCGTGGTTCGCGACTCCGACGAGAAAGACATCCGAGGAGGGGCCGAAACCGCCCAATCGGGGAGCGGGTGACCTGACCATTAATTCCAGCTGACTGCGAGTGGCGTACGCCGCCTTCGTTTTTCTGTCGCCTTTGCGCCGGCCGCATATTATCGACACTGTTCCGCTCGGTTCCCCTCCGCGCATTTGGAGAATGCCGAGCGTCGATGGGCTCGCAATTAATTGTGTCGTCGACGTCTTTCTCTTTTTCCACCCCCCCCCCCCCAATCGGCGCCCACTTTTCTCACCTCTTCCTTTTTCCTCCTCTCCGGCCGACGCCTCGTTCTTTTTTTTCTGTCGCCCGCACGTGCGACGCTTTCCTCCTACCACCCTCCTCTCCTCCTCGCCCGTTGCCCTTTGGGCGCCCACCCTAGTCCCCGCAGGCGAGCAAATCGAGGAGCCCGACTTTCAGTACATTCCGGACTCTGCAGTGGCTGGCCGGGGCAACCGGGCCGGCGGGGGTGCGCTGGCCGAGTCCATGCTGCTCTTGGCCGAGGGTCTCGAGAGCGGCGCCACCATCGCCCAGTTTGAGGTGAGAAGGCATTGGCTTTACTTCTTCAAGACGCTGTTTTAGTTCACCGAGGCAGAAGCCCTATATGCCTTGTCAAACGAGAATTGTGGCATCAGTGTAGTCGCCCTGAACATCAACAGTGACACTAAACATCATTGTCAATGTAATCGAAGAAAATTATGTTAATGGGAGAGCTCAAAGGCAAGTCCATAAGGTGCTTTACAGGTTTTTTTGTACATTCATTTGCTTATAAAATAGGTGACATTAAGATAATCTTTCTTCCTACATTTGTTTTTAAAGAAAGTGGTAGAGTTTTGAAGGACAATAGACACTTTTGCAAGTAACAGCCACACTGTATACAAATTAACATTATCTTTATCTCTCCTTATTTCTTCAGTTACTCTTTTGCTTTTCCTATATTTATTATTTTGTTTTCGCAGTGTTCAGGCCACTATTATCATTCTACCACAAAGCATGAGGTTGCTTATATGGTACCTGGCTGTTTCTTATTGGGGCATGAACAAAAGGAAATACAATAAAACATACTTATATTTTGATGTCTACTGAAAAACTACAGGCGTTTAAAACATTAAAACAGAGCATTGATGATTCAACTTGCGAAAATTTGTCGCAACACAACAAACATCTGCACAGAGCCTCAGAAGTCATGAAGCTTTTTTTTTTTCCAATTAAGTTTTTTTAGAGCACTTGTGCACTGCTAGCTGGTTGTGTGTTGCACCTGCTCAGTTCACCTTGCAATGGGGCACGATCGGGAGGCGTAGCATGGAGGCTTATTATTAAGCATGTATAGCAAATGTGTAATGCAAGTGCATTGCATTACTGATTAAGTGCATTCATTAGGCAATTCTATTGCCTTTCCTTCCACTGTTGTAAATTCCTTTTTTCATTGCCGTGGAGCAATTAAGTAAATGGAAGATCAAATAATTATTCCTGAGTCGGCAGTCATGACAGCTGTTTTGTCGCTATATTTTGATATATTTTGTGTATAACAGGATAAATGTAGCCATTAATAAATGAGTATTTACTTGCAGCTTCCAATTCTTTTTTTAGCAATTGTATGTGGTGGTACAACAAACGCATCACTTTGAATTCGCCTTGAACATCACTGCGCGTGATTTTGAGGCACGTTGCGGCATCCTTTGGTCAAGCTGTTGAAACGTAAATGCTCTCTCGTTTTTTTTCCCTTGCCTTGCAGCAACTGTACCGCAAAAAGGCCGACTTTACGATGAAGTGTGCCAGGTTGCCTGCCAACCTCTCCAAGAATCGTTACAGAGATATCTCCCCATGTGAGTGTTAGAGCAAATCATTTCTCACTTTACAATTGTTTTCTTGTTTTTGTCTGCCTTTTTTTTTCATTTTGTTTAGAAATGAAACGTTTAGCCTTGATAAAATGGAGCAACTGCTCTGTAGCACCCCCCCCCCCACTTTTCTTTTATATATACTAGTTTCGAATAAGTGCACTTAAAAAAAGTTCATTACAGAAAACTGAAAGGCAGACTTTCGCTCTTTTCAAAGTACCCATTATTCCTCTATACTTGAAACTTGGTGGATGCAGCATCGGCTCTCAGTTTTTATCTTTTCTTTTATTGTGGTTCCTCTAAAAACTTCTTTTTATTAAGAAGTGTGGAAAAGAAATTCTTCCACTCATAAAAGTGCTTGCTGGATGTGTGTTCTTTTCCTGGACGATTAGAGGCCGCTGTCATGTTGTTAATACCGCACTGTCTTGTGTCATTAAGATGAACCAAGAAATTCTTCAGAGACCATTTCACTGCATTCATTCACCTCAGTATTTTTTCCCCTCTCCACGTGAAATTGTCCTAAATTTGTTCGACTGGTCAGAGTAGTGTGTTTGATAAAACGTGTTGTATCTCTTTCAGATGATGCCACACGAGTCATCCTTCAGGAAGGCACATCTGGGGACTATATAAATGCTAGTTATGTAAATGTAAGTACCTAAACTTTGCTTTTCAGGTGTGACTTAAGGATGATTAAAATATGAAGAACGTTGTACTCTTTCAGAAATCTGAAAGTGTCTTTTGAACAATGTTCAAAATTTCGTAGAAAGGTAGAAAGAAAGAATACAAGACATATTTTGTTTTTCTGTTTTGGTAATATAGTGCTGGCAAGATATACAAAACATCTTATTTTTTTTTTTCAGTTTTGGTAATATAGGCTGGCAAAATCAACTCAAAGGCGGTCATAAATGACTGTTTTGAAATGAGAGCGCACTACTTAGACACGGACAGAAAGACAGGGACAAGCGCTTGTCCCTGTCTTTTTGTCCGTGTCTAAGTAGTGCGCTCTCATTTCAAAACAGTCATGTATCACCAACTCGCCCAATCAACCATTTTTGTCATAAATATCATGATATATTTACTATTAAAGACTCCTTTTACACTTCAAAAAACTCCTTGCTGCTTTCACATGGGCTATACTCTTGTCAGTGTTAATCAAACTTTTTTTTCTAATGCTGAATGCATGTTGCCAGAAACTATGATGTCACAGCTGGTACACATGTCGCAAGGCAGTGTTGTCATCACTGTTCAATGTCTCATTTTACCAAGCTTTCAATAAAAGTCGCTGTAAAAACAATTATGTTTTGTGTAATAAACAGACAGTACTTAACTGTCTTGGAGAGAGTGCTTCATATATGCCAAAAGTAGTTACAGTGGAATTTTGATTATACATGCCCCACCTTTGCCATGACCCGCATTTCACAAGGAATCCGTATGGTTCCGGAAAAATTCCCACTGAAGTAATGTATTAAAAACCTTGGTTATACGACACAGTTTTACGCCGACCCCACCTTTTACGACATTCAGATTTCGTTCGAAAAAAAAAAAAAAAAACGTCTTTACTTAAATCAAACGTCGGCCAAATATAACGAGAGCGAAGTGTGAACTTGCGTTCCTCTAGGTTGACGATTAGAATAGTAGAGAGTGAGACAGATGTCTTCTTGGAATGCAAAATTTACTTTTCCTGGAAATTCATGCGCTTCTGCACACGCCTCGATTGCTTGCGTATGCATCCGGGGTTGTTACATAGTCTGCTCTATTCACACAGAGTAGCTTCAGCTGGCCAAAAGGCTAATACTTACACATGTTTTTCGGTCTTTAGAAACATTTCCTGGTGGACATATAGCTGATCTCCTGCCTTTGTCGCAGTCGCAGCACAGGCTTGCGCACGCATAAGGGCGGTACACAGCTGTTTTCACTTTGCAAAATTACTTTTACTTGACATAAACGTTCATAATAACAGCAGGACATCACTAGTTGCACATCACAAGGCAATTACAACGCACACAGCTCAATCTCGCACAAAGGCATTCTACGCTAACTCTTGGTCTGTCGCCTTTATTTGATAGGGATGAAACCGTGTCTAACTCTTCTGAAGGGAGGCTATTGGCAGCACAGTTACAGTTTGGTGCGCAGGCAATTTTCCGACTCTATCGATAGAAAAACGGGTGTTGGACTCAATTTTTTTTCAAGTTGAGAATATTTACTGGCACCTCTTTCAACTAAGTAACGCTGCCATTAGCTGCCACCGGCAAGAATAATTTTACCTACCTTCCTAGCAGAGGCACAAGGTCATGCCATGGGCTTATTCAGGTGGTCTGTACCTATTTTTTTGGGCAAGGCTGAGTGGCAGATTTGGCATATGGCTGAGTGGCGTATATGCTTAGTGTTTCTTATATATGACACCCAGATGATGCGACGGCTTTGTGTGGATCCTGAAAGTTGTATAATCCATATTCATGAAGTGATTAGCAGACAACTATATGCTGTGCCAGGGGGGGTCACTACAATTTAGTTGAACACCTAAAGATCATTGAAGCTATTCTAAGCTTTGTATAACTTCAAGCAATCTATACTATGTTCTTTCACATTATTGTGCTTCAGTCTTATGCTTTGTTTCCTTTCTGCTTTCTGCGCAGATGAACATCCCCACATCGGGCATTGTAAATAGGTACATAGCCACACAAGGTCCCTTGCCCAATACCACGATAGACTTTTGGGAGGTGAGCTTTGGCGTCTGTAGCCAGTGGTCACTTACTGCTGGATGTGTCAATTAACTGACACAAAACTGTGTATGGTGGCATCTACAATCACATGGTTCCTTGTTATTGCAAATTGCTCTTTGATGTGCTGCTTTAGTCGCTTAAAGGCTCAAAAATCCTAAGGAGGTCATTTATATACTGCAGTCTTATGGAAACAAATATTGATATTCTGTAAAAAGATCTTACGGTTGTTTGTAGGGTGAGTGCAGATGAGTATATGTATGTTTGGTAAACCTTGCGCCAATAGTTGAATTTACTATTAAACTTTCTGGAGTCACTGGTACAATGTAATTGCTTAGTAGCCTTAATTATCTCACCTCCTCTCTCATGTATCTTGTTCATGGCTGAAATCGAGTAAGTGCAAGATATTCACCGCATCAAATATCTGTGGACTCTTTGCACTTCAATGCAGTTGTTGCAAGCCATGGTGTGAACATATTGCCAAAATTGGAGCTTTAAGCGTTTCACCTTGTTTTGTGAAAAGCAACAATGAAATACTTGACTTACATCACACGAAAGGTTGTGAGCACACAGAGGAAAAAAGAGTTTATACGTTCCACTGACATTATTTTGGCGAAGGGATCATGCTTGCAGCAAGAGCTTTGTGTACTCCTGAGACGACACTGCTTGTTCTGTTTGGTTAGAGGGTAAAAGTGAAGAGGAAGCGATGTTGCTACAATGTCGAAGAACTCTTTCGTAACTTTCGTTTCAAGGCAATGCCACTTTGGATGCATGAAAGAAACGCCACAGAAAAGCACTTTCTAACCGTGTGTGAAGAAAGGACTAGGACAGGCAGGAAATTAGCATGCAGCAGTCTTTCGAGTTATCAGGAGTTGAAACAAAGGAGCCAGTCAAGGCAGCCATTGTGATCTGGGCGATGCTATTTTGCAGATGGTATGGGAGCAGCAGTGCACTCTGGTGGTGATGCTGACGACACTGGTCGAGCGGGGCCGCATCAAATGTCACAAGTACTGGCCGGACTTGTATGAAACTGACACCTATGGACACCTGCAGGTCAGTGGGGTCATCGTTTGGACAAGCCTGTGCTGTAGTGCTGGTACACGATGGGTAGTCATCGTATAGCAAAATTCCAATAAAAACAACCTTAACAAAACAAAGTGCTTACACGCTTACTGTTTATCTCTACTTGTTCGTCATCTCTGGTGCTGTTAATCACCTACCACATCGAGTCATTTGATGATTGAACTCTTTTTTTTGTCATTAAATATATTGTCATTAAAAGAATCGGCTTACCCTTCTCTCGAAGAGGTTACCAATGCAGCATATAATAAAAAAATGTTGAGAAAGCCATGTAAAGTCATAAAAATATTAACAATGTCATGTAAAGTATAAAAGTTTAGTATGCTTTGCTTTTTTCTGCCACAGCCATTAGTTTAGTGTGCTTTAGTGCACACATGAATATGACTTCGTGTGGCGAAACATTTTTCTTCTCCAAAACTTTCGCCTCCAAGTCAGCGAATGTGCTGGCCATGCAAATTATGTGAATGTATGGTTCATGTCATAAACTTAAGAAAGTATAGTAGTGTACTTAATTACAGCAAAAGCCCAATAGAGTGAGGCAATATTGCCAATTATCACCAGAGAAGGTCACAGTGATCACACAGTTAATGTGGAATTTGTTTGTCTATGAAGTCTTCTTTTCGGGCAGAGTAATGCCAAAACATTATATGGCAGATAGTTGTCTTGGTTGTTGACGATTGCAAATTGTATGTGAACGTTACGTGCAATATGTTACACTTTAATTTGGTATATTGTAACTGTTGCACTATTTATTATTGTATTATTATATTATTATCATACCCTCCTCTTTCTTTACCTTTTCCCTTACTCCCGTGAGGAGTAGCAGGCCAGAAACCCACTTTCAAGACCGACATCTCTTCCTCCTCATTAAACACCTTCTTCTTCTTCTTCTTCTTTTTCCTTACTGCAGATGTGATCAAATCATGTCAAAACAAGTTTTAAGGAGGATTGCAGAATAGTCTAAATTTGTGGCCCCTAATGCCATGGCTTCTTCTCTAACAGTTTTATCGTGCAGCTTACTTTTTAATGCAAATTGTCTTTTTTATCTATAGGTGTCCTGTGTAAGGCAGAAAGAAACGCCGTCCTTCGCTTTTCGTGAATTCACCCTCATAAACACGCAGGTAAGTTGTCATTTGCAGGTTATTTGTTGGAGAGCTTTGTTCAAGCAGTATACGTCTCTAGCTATCTGTTAGTCGATCAATAGTGTAGGGACTGTCGACAATTGCATTTGACATTACTTTGCTTAATTAAAACATATGTATTTTTTGTCTCTAGTCGCTTATTTTCTCCCTGTATTTATGCTTTCGTGTCTGTTGACGTACCTGGCAGGTGGCAGTTGACCCGATATTAGTGGCATTGTGTTAATTAATGCAATCGATTCTGCAGCACTGCAATATGTTAGACACAATGAGCCAAAGAGGACTAATGCTGAAGTCTTAGGGATAGTTGATGTCACGGATGACAAGGGGCTCGCATTGCATACAAATTTTGTGTAAAATATGTGACGCTGGAAAACGTTGCATTTGCCTAAAGCTTTGGGCACCATTCTTTGGAAAATTACAGCAAAAGAGTTCCTCTTCTTCCGTTTCCTTCAAAACAAATCTCTCTTTCTCACAAAAATTGTTTGTCACGCAGAACCGGGAGGAGCGGCACATCACCCACATGCAATACTTAGCGTGGCCAGATCACGGAGTGCCCGAGGAGGCCTCGGAGTTCCTGGGGTTCGTGCAGCGCGTCCGGAAAAGCAGGGACGGCATGGTGGAGCCCACCGTGGTGCACTGCAGCGCGGGCATCGGCCGCACGGGCGTTCTCATACTCATGGAAACAGCCATGTGCCTCATCGAAGCCAACGAGCCTGTCTACCCGCTGGACCTGACACGTGACATGCGGGATCAGCGTGCCATGCTCATCCAGACCTCTGTGAGTATTCGTGGGGTTTCCAACACTGTTCTTCACTGTACTTATGTTTGTGTGTTTGTAGACATGCCTAATAGGAACAGTAACATTCACAATGTAAAACAAGATTATTATGCTTCTTTTGGAACTTTTTTTACATGATATGCGCTCGTTCATAACAAGGAAAAAAGCATTTGTACCATTAATATAACTACTTACATAATCAACATGTTGAGACATACTATGTGTTTGAGGTAAGAGCAGCTGCAACAAAGCTGGGGATTTGAAATACTCTGTAAACATTTCTCAAAGTACCATGAGAATCTGCATATACGTGTTTTTTTTTCTAGTTTTTATGATGCGGAATTTGGGCCACATGCTGTGTACGGTTCCCGAAAATTTTCAGTCCACAATTCACAGTTTCGGTTTCAACATTGCGCAGCACTATCATCATCATCATCAAGCCTCTGTGTTAGGAAATGCTAGCGTTAGTCCCACTTTCTGAAGGCCACAATTCTACGCTATGTGAGGGCTGCAAAAGTAGTATTCGGCTGCTTTTGAAAGAATGGTGATTTCAGCTGCCAAAACCATCGGCAGCTATGCTGCAGGGCGACAGTTCAATGTAAATGAACGAAGCATTCGCGGTTTGGGGAAATAGAAGGGAGCCCTCTTTGTGCGCAACAGTCTGAGGAGAAGTTTCTAGGGGCCGAAAAAATGGAGCATTTTCCGGTGATGAGCGCGAGTGAACAGACTTAATTCGGGAGAAGTGGAACACTGCTGGGGCTCCTATCGATGCTTGTGCCTGACGCATTTCAACGTCACATTCGTGAAGCAACTGTTGCCCGACTCCCACGCCGAGCTCATCGTCGCCCTTGGAGGACATCTTGGCTGCAGACCTTTGATGTGTGCCCACAACCATTTAATGACCACATTAAGCGCATTTATGTAAATTGGATGAGGTTCAAAGTGCCAAAAGTTACCCCTCCGGGTGGCTTGAACTGGCCTCACCGGCAATGCTGTTATACACATAGATCGCCAAAGCTTTGGTCTCCATTCCCGAGGCACTCATTTGTCATGCCTTCAAAAAGTGCTCGATTTCATACGCCCTTGATGGCACTGTAGACGAGGTGCTGTAAGAGGGCATCTCTTACAAGGGAGTTTGGGAATTTAGTGCATAAGAGGATGACGAATAAGTGTGTGAATAAATGTAGCCAATTTCTGTTTTCCTCGTGCTATATTAGGGTGAAAACATTTTTTTTCCCCTCATTTGCTATTCTTAAAGTACATCTCACGCTGTATGAGGGTAAGGACAGGTGTTTTGCGCTATGTTAAAGAGAAAACAACCCACATCTGTAGGCCCAATTTTACCATTTCAAGAGTTAAATGCTGCACTGCTCAGAATATTGAGAGCGAAGTGGGCATTACGCACTGATATTAAGATGGTTGAGCAAAACATGCATGCAAACATTGCAAAAACAAAAGTGAAGGTTATTTCCGGCAGTAGGTCACTAATAGGAGCACTGTCGTGCACCCACTTATGGTTCAAAGCTATTGGTAAATTCAGTATGTATTACATGCATCAGTAGCTTCTTTAAACTATTAGTATCCTTGAAAGCATTTTTAAAAAGTGTCACAAGCATTTTGAACCTAGCAATAGTTTTAAAAGACTGTCTTTTGTGTTACCCTTTTAATAGCAATATTGATAAAATTGTGGGATATCAATAAACAGACATCACAGTAAGTAGAAAATGGCTCACAGAACTGCTTATAATTCGGTAGCATTTCTATTTACTGCACCCTTGTAAATATTTCTCCGTAAACGAAGTTCCTACTAAGTAGAACATATAATAAAATTTCGTGTATAGGTCGAACCAGCATATAATTTGAAGTGCATTTCGGGCATAGCAAATGCAGCAAAAAAGTTATCACTCGAATATAGACTCAGGAAAACAGAAAAACACATTTATTTACACTCAAGTACTCGTCACCTGACGAGCTCTTATCCAAAGCTCCCTTGTCAGACATGTCCTCCCACAGTGCCTCGTTGTCAGTGCCGTTGAGGGCGTTTGAGATAAAGCACTTTTTGAAGGAACAACAAACGAGCTCCTCGGGAATGCAGGTCCATAAGCACAGCATCGCTAGCCAGGCCCGCTTTAGTCATCCGGCAAGGCACTTCTGGCTCTCCGGACCTCATCCACTTTATATACAGGCGCTTGATGCGTTCCTTAAATGGCCCATTGAGACACGCATCAAGCGGCTGCAGCTAGGATGTCATCCCTCCCGGGATAACGACGAGCTCTTTGCGGGAGCCGCGCAGCAATCGCTTCACAAAGTCTGCCAGATTACACCGAAATGCGTCGAGCACAAGCATTGATGGGAGCCCTAGCAGTGCTCGGTGCTGTTGACATCACATTGACTTGGTCCAGTCAAGTACAAGTATCCCTTGTCTTGGCAGCGAACGGCAACATTTCTTGGAAACTTTCCCTCTTTGGCAGCGTCTTTCATTTGAACACGACGTAGGGTGGCAGGTTGCACCCATCTGCCATGCAGGCCAGCATTACAGTCACCCGCATTTTCTCATTCCCACTTGATCGCACGGTAACTTGCCTGGAGCCTTTTTTGTGAACTGTCAGAGCCGATGGCATATCGAGGTACACAGGCGTCTGATCAGCACTTGTCATCTGGCCCAGCTGAAAGGAGACTGCCTTTCGCGAGGGCAGTTTCCTTTCAGCTGCACTAACCCACCATTCAAAGCTGCACTAACAGATTACATTTTCAGCCTGTCATAGCTCAGTTTGTTTGAACATGTCTTTTCATTGATATGTTGTATTTTCTGCAACTTTTTTGTTGTAAAACAAATGAAATGAAACAGAATAATATGCTTCTGAAAGCTCACAAGCAGCTCTTCGTAGTTTTTTGGCAGCTTCTGTGATGCCAACGTATCCACGGGTAGGAAAAATCCGGCCCGGCGCATGGAGCGGGACACCCAATCCTTGGTCGCCTTGAAGACCGCCTACTCGATGCTTTGATCTCACACAATCTTCCTTGCTTTTGCTTGCAGCAGCTCGATGTTAACAGCGAGCTGTGCAGCCCTTTACTTCTGAACTAAGTTCACCACTTCTGGTTCAATGTCAGAAAAGGCTGCATGTTTCGGCCTTTAAAAGCTTCTTCGCTGGCTGCTGCCTACAAAGAGGGCTTCTGTCTGCTTCCTCCAGCTGCGAATGAACCGCTCATCCACGCCGAATCGTTGCCCTCAGCACAGTTACTCAGCAGCTGAGCTAGCCTTTCTACTAAAGGCAGCCGAATACTTATTGACTTTCGTAAAGCTGGTATGGTGTAAAGTCACAGATGTAAAATTGCGGTCATTGTTACGTGCGTCAAGTGGTTACAGTGGCCACCGTTGCCCGCTTGTAGGACTAATGTCACTAACACCACAGCACTACCATATAAACAGGACTATAGGTCGACCCCCCAAGTTCAGGTTACCGAAAAAGAAAAAAAGGAAAACAACCAAAATCTGCCAAACCACATCTATTTACGAATTGGGCGCACCGCACCCCGATCGTCGGAGCTCCCCTCAACCACCATCGCAACTGCTCCTATTCGTCCAACGAAGCACCACTGTCTTCTGAAGACGAGAGTTCGTCGCAGGCCGCTTCCCACAGTGCGTCGTCTTTCGCGCCATCCAGAAAGTTTCTGATACAACATTTCTTGAAATCACTTTCCACCATGGAATCGGGCAAGGAACGCCAGGCAGAAAGCACCCAGCCACAAACAGTCGCAAGCGGAGGCCTCTGCAGGTGGCCCGTCAGTGTCTTGGGGTTGTCGCCGGACATTCACTCTTGGTACTCCAGCCGCACTAAGTCCTTGAACAGCTTGTTTAGCACAACATCGAGCAGCTGGAGGGTGGACGTCATACCACCTGGTATGACGGCGAGGTCTGTTTTCCCATCGACAAGTGCGCATTTCACAGCGTTGGTTTTAAGTGACCACGAAACGCATCCAACACCAGCATGCTGGTGTTGGATGCGTTGGAAGATGGAAGAGTAGTGTGGGACCGTTGGCCAGGTGCAGCCGTGCACCTTGCAGCAGTGCGTTCGCTTCTACTCTTATCCATTCGAGCATCATGGCCTCGTTCATGTATCCCCTTTTGTTGACGCGAACGACAACACCGGGCGGGAACACTTCCTTCGGCATTGTCTTGTGTTTGAAAATGATGAAGGCCGGAAGCTTTCTACCATCTGCTGTGCATGCCAGCATGACGGTGAAGCGTGTGTGCTCGTTGATAGTGGACAACAGCTTCACATCCTTGGCGCCGCGCTGCGTGATCGTGGTCGACAAATGCATGTCAAACCACACGTGTGTCTCATCAGTGTTGCCAATCTGCTCCATCATGTAGTCGTTCTGCTCCCGAAGCCGGTTCACGAAGCACTGAACGTTTATAAGCTTGTCCTCGAACTTGTCCGGCAACTTTTGACAGATCGATGTGCACCGCCGGAGAGAAAATACTTTGCGTCGCATAAATCGATGCACCCAAGAGTTCGGTGCACGAAACTCTTCTCTCGTGAGCCCTGCTTCTCGAGCGAGTTCCACGGCTTTCTTGCGAATGGTATCCACGGTCACTGGCAGCGAGCGCACACGAACTTCCCACACGAAGTCCACTAGCTTATCCTCCAGCTGCAGATGAACGGCACTTCGTCCACGAAACGACATTTTTCGAGAATCGCACATCTGCAGCTTCCCTTTTTGCGCCCTCCAATAGCGCACGCTTTTTTCCGATACACCAAAGCGGCGCTGAGCAGCCATATTTCCGTTCGCTTCTGCGAACTCAACAATATCTAGTTTAAACGCAGCTGAGTACTGCATCCTCGTACTGCTACTCGTATTCATTGAAGGAAAAAAAAAGACCACTAAAAATGCAGTGCAATGTCAAGCGGAGCGAAAACTCGGAACAAATCGGAAGCAAATTATGAACACGAAGAAAACAGACAGAGAGAGCGAGAGAAAACAAAAAACTGCCTGCGATTGGATTTGGATGCGGATGTGGCCGCGTTCGGCTTCTCAAGCACTTGCAAGCCACATGTTGCCAGACAGCGGCGCACTTTCAGCTAGACACCGTTATATAAGATGAGGGGCGACATTAGCTTATTATTTTAATGAAAATATCTCGACTTATGTTTTGGTTTATACGGTACCTACCGCAGAAGCGTGCAGACACCTGATGATGAAGCACCGCGTATTGTCGAAACCAAAATTACCAGTTCTGCCCGAACATTCTTGGTATATGCATATAGTCTGGGGCAGAAATTTTGCATAGTAAAGTCTAGCGGAAAACCCTGAGCTTTGCGCGGGTTTTTACGATGTTTTTATAGTTAATTCAGGCTGCGTTGAGTAAGATTCTACTGTGCTGTGAAACGTCACCATAAGAGTAGTATCGCAATAATTCATTTTTCAAGGTGCTATAAGTAGTTTTGCAATTCTTGTTAACAACCTACATAGGAGGTGACAAAATCGGCTCTTACTAGGGAAAGTTTTTTTTTTTTTTAGCTCAATTTCGTTTTTTTTTTTCTAACTTCTCCATTTCGATTAAGAACTATGAATATGACTCCAATTTGGAATTCAGTATGGACTAACGTATGAACTTTCTGTGTTCTTGCAGAGTCAGTACAAGTTTGTGTGTGAGGCTATCCTCAAGGTGTACAATGGTAAGCCAGTTATTTTTCAACATTTTCTTGATCGTATTCTTTGCCTCGTTTATCAAATGACACTGTAGAAGTGACTTGCACACTTTCTCCTTTCACAGATGGTGTTGTCAAGCCCTTGCCCGAGTACCAGAGGTAAGGAACATGTTACTAATGATATTCCAGTTATGTTGCTAAATCTGTTATACTTAAGAGGCTGTTTCACAATTACATTAATGCATTCAGCAAGTTTTTATGCCCGACAATTGTTCTTTTTTTTTACTTAGCTACTTCACAGCAAATATTTTCACAGTATAGATAAACGAATTTTGACTCTGTGGCTTAACAAAGTATCATAAACATGCAATTCCAGTTCCTTGATGTTGTTGTCTACTTTTTTTCTTTATCAAACATAGCGTTAGGGTTTATGTTGGTAAGTGCTCATGAAACAACCACAGGAGCTTAAAAACTGCATTATTTTTTGTTCTTTCAGATGCTTAACAACCACCGTTTGATGAAAGGACAAACCAACACATCCTCTGTCGGCTCGTGCCAGAATACAAGGACTCATTCGTTCATCACTGAACACAACTGCAGCGCTGGTCCTCGTTTTGCCATGGTCACTCTCTTTTCGTGCGTTTGTTTCACACAAGGCCCACCACTTCTACCACACGGCAGCACCGCTACAAGTATGAAGCTTGTGGACTGCGGAATTTAGAAAAAAACTCCTAAGTTTGCACGAGGAACCGTGCCCACAACTGGCAACAACGTGCTGTGCACACAAGGCAGCTGCACTGAGAGTGACACAAAACGTGTTCACGGCCATCGCTGCCATCATTTGTGGCACCTAAGTGCGTGTGTACGCAGACGAATGTTCCTCCTACAGCACGTGAACCATTTTACACGTTGTGTGACGGCAGGTGTGTCGACGCTTTTTCCCAGTGAATCCTCGTCAGGTATTTCCATCGCGAAGAGACTGTGCAAATGTTGTTGCTGTCTTGCTGCCGCAGCGGCTGCTGTATTTTTATAGTGCCCTCTCTAGGATTTTTTTTGTAAATAATGGTGTGAACTTTGTCATTGTAGATAAATGTTTGAAAACCCTGTTATCGTCCCTTCATTTCTTCTGGTCTCTTGGTAGCGGTGTCCACAGTGATGTGATAGAAGGAAAGCTAGATTGGTCTCCTCCCTGCTACGTTCTTCACAATTTTTTGTTTTAGCCAAGAGACCATCATTGTTTTTCATAATTTGTCTACCTTTTCTCATTGAAGTGCCGTGCTGTTGGACTCCTTCCCGGTGTAATGAAGCGGTGTTGGTAGCTGAAAATTATAATTTTTTGAGAAATGTAAACACGCCAGAAAAGTGTACATCGGTGTTCAGCGTAACAAACACAGCGGAGCATGCAACGTGTGATACGAGCTCGGGAGGGTTCATTCATTTGCGTGCCAGTAGTGCAGAAATGTCAAGTTATGTCAGTTAAAGATAGCTGTGTTGGACATCCTTGCTGTGTCATAGCTGCTTAAATTAACACTGGACATGCAGAACTGCGCATACATAGCATGCGGTGTCTAGCTAGTGTGGAGCTCTGTATGTTGCGATGTCCAGTGCTCGCAATCTATAAATATTTAAACTTTTCTATGGTGTTTCTCATATTCGAAGTTTCAAATATACAGAAAATGCTTGGATCTACTGAACACCATGCAGTTTGTACTGGCTTCTACATAAATATGTATTAGCAACAAAAATAGGAGATTTCAAAGCCTCGAGCATTTGTATTGGCACTTCTCTTCCCTGCCATTGCACAGAGAGAATTAATAATGAAGAAAATGTGCCAGTGAAGACGTAGGAAATAAGGTGGTGATGAGAATGAGAACGGTGGTACTTGAAGTGTGGATTGTGACTATGCCGGCTTCTGTTTCTTCAGGAATCCGCTTCTGCAAAGAACACACACCTGCCATGTTGACACTTAATTGCAAACCGTGCTTGGGAGTATCATCATACTTTTTTTTTTCGCTTCCAGTCAGCGGGGTGCTTATGGAGCATACACTTTCCCCAATTGTCCAAGGACTGTCGACGAAAGTGGTGGTTAGAAGTTAACCTTTGACCCAACCAAAAAAGTAACCTGTAGATCATTGTCTCATACCCGATGCGTACACTTCTCCCCGTACCAATAGGGCCTTTCGAGTGCTCTGCCTCCCATTTTCATTTCTTGTATTCCTTTTTGTTTGAACAGACTTGCCGACACATTTCTCCGCCAGCTCAGTGTCGACTTCAGTCACCCCTATGGAAAAGTTAAGCTGTCGAATGTGGGAAGTTAAACTGGTGGGATCTGTTCAACAACTTGTCTGTCGTAATCGATTCTGCGACAGAGTTCTCTTGAGTTCCACATCCACTGGCACAATACTAGCTACTTCAGAGCAGCTAATTAATCCACTGCCAAGAGTTAGTGCAGTTACTGGTTACATTCGGCGCCGACTTGACACAAGACCATGCAACACAACTGAATTGGCAGAATCAAATTGATAAAAAAGTAAGCCTGTACTGTGTTACATAGCTGAACCTGTGCATCCAGTACGACGAAAAACAGACTAAATCGGCACAAACAAGTACAAATATGCATTTTGTTATGCCTGGCTCTATTTCAGCCTAGAGAAGGCACATTTCGTGGTGAGAAGAAAGTGCAACTACAAGATGCGATGTTTGCCCGTAGATGCGATGTTTGCCACTTTTGCCAATGTGATACATCGCATCACTCCTAGTCCTCACGCTCGCTCTGTTTATTAGCATAGTAAGTGAGAAGAAAAATAGCGGAAGGGTCTGATAGTTTTCGAAACGCGCATGCACCTCTTTAGTTTGTTTTTTTCAAACCTTGGCTATGTTTGTTTCGTTCAAAGAAATGCTTTCTGACCAGTGGTGTTCAACAGGCTACACTGCTAGCAGTACAGGCGGGCGGTGTTTTGTTAAGTGATGCACACCACTCGTCATGAGTGCTTGTGCATCGGAGATAACTCTTCATGGCTTCTCAAAAACTTGTGCTGTAGAAAGGTCAATCTATCCTGAACTTTTTAAGAGTCGTGCCCAGAGGACATCCCAAGGTTGGTGAGCCAGGAAATGCAGCATGTGTGCAACCTGTGGATGGGGGTGTGATGCCTGTCGAGGAAGCAACTGAGCCTAGCAATTTACACATGGGCCACAGATGGATTACTAAATTTTGCTAGCACACTCAACTTGCATTCTTCTCAGTTCCTAAAGAGCATGGGTTCTCGTTAATATTGGCTGAAGTCTGCTGGGCCAATGTGTATACGTAGCTGTTGGTAAAGCAGCAGCATTAATCTAAACTGTAGCCACATTTTACCTTTCAGTTCTAAATCGCAACTGATCTCTACCATGGGCTAACACATATTTCAAAGTTTGCTTAAAATTACTGTAACTTCTTTTGTGTGAGGCTCGAAAAATTGGCTTAATTTTCTTCGTAGTTCAACGTGTTGGTAGTTGTACGATGGGGAAAGAAATGAAAACGCACTCAATAGGTGCAGGTAATTGTACTTCTGTATTGTTGGATGAAATTGAATGCCGGATACCTTGATTCTTGTGGCATTGCAGAAACTACTGTGGCTACATGAGGCTCAACCACAGACTTGCGGACACTGCTATGTTGAGAAGCACTTGTCTTGTGATAAGTCAAAGGGCTTTTTTGTTAGTTCTTAAGGGAGCCTATTGGTATGAGGACTTATATATACGAACATAAGGGTGGCTTTAGCCTTGAAGCTAGAAGGCAGTGTGGTGGTGCAGTCGGATGAAAGTGAACTGGTAAATTGCGTATGTATTGGCAGTTTCCATAGATCACCGATATTCTACACCTCTTATGCAATGATATGGATGTCATTGGCACAAATAAACATGAATATCGGCACACATCAAGCTCTTTAAATTTGTAAGTTATGTCTCGTGCTGATTATGTGAAAGAATGCCCATGTTGGCTTCGTCATTTGCCATAATTTATATTTATTTGTATGTCATTTATCAATTATCACACTACAGTTTTGAATCTAAGGTACCAAAGGTTCTTTATAATGCATTAATAAATCTAGTGCTGTCGACACAAACCCACCCCTGCTTACCTTGCCAGCTACCCACCTTTATCTATTTTTTTGGTGCATGTTTCATTTATGAATTGAGACAAGATGGACTGAATTTGTTTATTTTTATAATGCCTGGTGAAAACTTCTTTTTATTTAAATAAGTTTTTAATGGTATGAATCTTGGAGCTTATGAAGTAAAAGCCACGGATTTGCACTGTTCAGTGTTAGGGTTTATGCCAGATTTCAACCTATACAATTCCAAGTCCATCCACTTGTTTTCTTTTCTCGTCACATTCACACGGCTGTCCAAACACCTTTGCTTTTATGCTGACTGTAAAACGTCACAGGGGAAAAAATGTCATAAATAGTCTCGTGTTGGAAAACTGGCTTTGTAATACAGTGTTGCACAAGGCATAAATGAACGGAATGTCTGGCCAGTCTTTTTTTGGACCAGTGTTTGCATTGTTGTCTTGACTTTCCCTGAATGAGCCCTCTCCTCACTATCCCTGCAGCAAACTGTAGCATTCAAATTTTCAAACACAGCTGTTGCCATGGCCATGGCTTTTTCTATAAAGAAAATTGGTAGATTGAGAAACCAGTGTCATTCCTATTGCTTTTGTGAAGCTAACCTAGCAGGTACTGCAGCCCGTTCCCATCGACAGCATCTAGCATTCAGTGTGCACATTGGAAATTTAAGTGGGGAAGCATAAGGCCTTTTAATAATGGTGCACAGGTTTCTGTAGCCACGTATCTGTACCACTGCCATCAACGTGTTTTGTACTTGGTGTGTGAACAGCCGCAGTCGGAGGCAAAGAAAAAAAAAAAACTCGTTTTTAGGTGATGTTGATACAGAGCCAACAGAACGTTTAACAACTTGTCTACAAGACGTGCTTGAACCATTGTTTGGTGTATGTGTACATTGCATAGTTTCCTGTCCAAAATAGAGCATCCTGTATATATATTGCTTGTGTGACTGCGTATGTGTGCGCATATGACTACTTCTTACAGCAGAGCGTTATGTATGACTTCGTCTTTGTGTTTTCTTTTAGCAACCTAAATGTCTGCTTTTAAAATTGTGGTCATCTTGAACAGACGTCCACTCCTCGAGGATATTGAAATGCCACAGCGTTCTAAGTGATGCAAGGAGGAGAAAGAAATTAAAAACGTTACACAAAACATGCTGCTTCTCCTCTGTTACATGAATGTTCATGACAAGTCTATTTAGGGTGCTGTTACATAGTGATGCATAGGGCTCAATGCTACATAGTTCTTCTCGCTTTACTAACTGATAGTGCGGACAAAGTCTTTTTTCGAATATTGCTAAAGTACAAAGAAAAGGTGTGATAATAATTTGACTTGTTGGGTTTGTTGCTTAAAAAAAGTGCCAACGTTGGACACTGAGGTTTCTGAAAGATATTGGCAGGGCAGGGGGGCGTTTTGAGGAAGTGAAGTTTTTGTGTGTTACCCAAGCTAAAATCGGAAAGAACAGCCTGAGTCCCTTGGTGCAAGTGCCATTCTGAACATGACATTTGTTGGTAGGTTGCTTAGTCTTGTTGAGGCAAAACCTTATTCTTTTCATGACCCAAATAGTATCTGAAGCTCCTGCAGTCATGGTCACTTGCCAGACATGAGGAGTCTTATGGCCATGCAGTGAAGCTCTCTATGCCATGACCAGTGAAATGACTGCGTAATCTGATGCAGTTGCTGTGCTTTCGCAAAGAGTAGAAGCACTGGTTGTACTGTTTCATGAGCGTGGCAACAGAGTACCATGAGCTAGAGTTTATTCTGACGTTGCGCCGAGTCGAACACTAGAAGTGCCTTGCTAGCATATTCAAGAAATGCTTATTAGGCAATATATCACCAAGAACAGTGGTTGCAAGCTGTAAAAATCTATTTAAGCTTCTATTCTGCATATTAAAGAAGTGCTTATTAGGCAATATATCACAAGAAACAGTGGTTGTAATCCGTAACAATCCATTTCAGCTTCTATTCAACAAGTTCTCTTGGTTCCGTTATTATTGATTTGAAAAGAAGTGCCTCTAGTATGGCAAGATACTCTATTTGAGATACATCTCTTTTGAGATCCTGGGATTCAGCTTATTTATCTTGTGAGCACGATTTGCTTTCAAAGGTCCAAAACAAGTCACGAGCACTAGATTACTGGAAACACCCGAGTGGATAACACTAATGTTACATTTTTCGGACAGCCATTAAACTGCTGGAAGATTTGGTTATACGCACAGTCTTTGTTTTAGGTATATCCTTTATTAGCACGGAAATAGAAATAACTCAATATATACTACAAAAGTCAGTCTATGTTCGGTTCAGAGAAACATCAGGCAGCAAGTTCACTTTTACTGGCCGTCTGCAGCCTATTTTTCAAGCCTTCCAATCTGTGCGTGATTGGGACATGGTCGGACCGAATTATCCTGTCAATATTACCTTTCGAAGTGTAATACTTGCGTCCCTCATCCCCCAGCAATTCCCTCAGAGCCCTGTTCCTCTGAAGAAGTTTCTCATAATACTCTACACCGCCCTCAACATAATCTCTCCCCAGGGAAGCTGCCACGCTGTCCGCTTTCTTGTCCCAGTACTGGCTCATGGCATCCTTGAAGCCGATGTACACAGTCGCATGAAGTGCCACTACTACACCATACAGCGCCACACGAAAAGTACGAGGTGCACGAATCAGCAAGTTGAACCTGTCATTGATAAGGCGACTCATGAAGTAACAGTTGAGGACAGAGAAGGAGAGCGCTGCTGACTGGAACTGGACATAGTAGGTGTTTGCCCAACTGATGTCCCTTGCGATGACAAACCTCTGCGCTTGTCACTGAGCACGAGCGATTTCTTTAGTTGCTCCGCCTCTTTGGTTTCCCAATCTGGCGCTTTGGAACCGTGAATGAGCAGGCTCCTTGTCTGCACGTCTTCCTTCGTCGTGTAACTGAAGGTGAGGGGCAGGCCGATGATCACTCCTTTAAATGCCGTCGTGCTGCCAGCAAAGAATGTGTCCAAAATGGGCACGTGAAAGAAGCTGATACTGTCCTTTTGCATGTCATCGAGGTCGACTGACCGGAGAACCTGTGGACATACCATAGAAATACAATATCAAACGTCAAAAAGAACCAATCTTACCCATTTCAGTACAACGATCGCCGTAAGCTGTGGAAAAAAAAGAAGCTCTTATGCGAAAAAGCGCACGACACTCTTTCCTACAATGTGTTGCTTTTTCCACATGTCAGAGGAATCCGCTATTGCTATTGCCTTCCATCAAGCAGCATACGTGTTTGATGAAAGCACAAGCCCTTGGCATACCCTTCACAGGCTTCTTGTCCATGCCCTCACCACCAATGTAATTTCTTTTTGCAATAAGTGATATACAAAACATACATGCATACATATTATTTCTTACATGTACAGCACACATCTGTTTACCTCTTTCTTTCCTTGTCTATTTACGCACTCAAAATACCACTATGTTTAAGTACAAACTCTCCCAAATTTCAGTGCTTTTAAACATCTTGGTATGAACACCAAGACATCCTCAAGTGCTTTTGCACAGCCTATCTTTTTTTTAACATAGTCAAACGCTGTTGTACCTATGATGATAATGATATACAAGTGTGGTAACGTAGGGGAGAAGGTATGGGAATCACTAAAGTTCAATTTTTTAGGAATCCCATAATGAAACCTAAACAGCCTCCGCCTTTTAACACTGCCTTTTTCTTTTTATTGTCTCTGGAACGGTGTGCGCTTGGTGGTTCGGCTCTTTTTCTATAAAAGCTTTACAGGTACTCGGAGAAAGGACTAGACAACATAGACAGTTTGGTAGCTGGACAGGCAGTTCGGAAGAGCGGTACAGACAGGGTTGCTGAAATTAACAGACTCCCACAGAATGAGTTCAAACAAACCCATCTCACCTCTTCCGCTCTTTTCTTCACAGCTGGATCCAAAGCCACAGGTTTACCATCCCTATTAAAAAAATACATCAGTTTTCACTTCAAAGTTGTTTGCAAAAAGCTCAAAGTTATTGCACTTTGCAAAAAAAGAAAGTACTGCCGATTTACATTTTTTTGCTGGCCTGGTCCATTCACCAATATGCCTTACCCCATACATTATCTGTCTATGCTGAAAAACTCAATATATCTTAAACTCTACAGTTGAAAAGAAAGGCATAATAGCTGTTGGGGTATAGCATGGTAGGATCACAATATGATTATGATCAACACCAGTGGAGGACTCCGGAAATTCTGACCACCTGGGGTTCTCTAATGGGCACGTAAATCTCATTCAAACCGAAGATTTTTATAATTTATCTTTCTCAATTTTTCAGTCACTGAACAGGCGGATTTTTCGCTCACAACCAATAACGCTGACACAAACAAGAAATTTAAGCCAAACGAGCTTTTAAATGCTATCGTGAGTAAAGAATGCTATCGCACGTCGTGAACAGTCGCTGAAGGAAAGTTCAAGCGAAGTTTTTTTTTAATTGCACCTATATCATAATGCCACTGATTCTATCACCACTTGTGAGCTTTTAACAGAACACCGTAACGAATGAGAAACTTTGATAGATATCTTTACCATTATTTCCTTTTTCTTTTTACAGCCACATAAGGCTAGTAGACTGACCAAGGCAGCTGGGCTTTTTACCATCTGTGGTGTGCTGAAGAAAATATTTGTGGTCTTGGTAGTGAAAGGTGCTGTTGGTGGATGCGTAAGGCCTCCTACTCATACAGGTTGCAACTTTAGTATTGATGCCAGACTAAGTTTTGTATCCATTTGTGAGTGCAAGTTTACTGAGCTTTCCAGGTGCATGCAATTTTCGAGATACTGCCCACTGATGTTTGTGCACTTGTAACAATCACATTATTCAACGCATGTATCATTAGCCGCTTATGTACTTGCAATTCAGAGTACGTCACTAAAGAGGGGAAAAGGTTACAACGGGCTCGTATTTTGTTGCTCACTTCCAAACTGCAAGGAAGAGAATTTTTCCCGAGGGGGGGGGGGGGGGCACAAAATGATTCAAACAGACAATTGGGTCATGGAAAGCATAAAGGGCAATAATTGTTGTTTTGAACTGTATTGTAATAATTCTAATCCTGTTCTAACGTAAATTGAAGTGAGTTGAAGTGGACGAAAAATCACGGTTTCTGTCATTTGGATCTGAACCCATAACCTTCGAATACACAACCAATTGAGCTACAATGAAAGGTGCTTTATCAGCCACTTCATTAGGTACTTCTGTGCATCAATCCCTGGGAGTGTTAGCCAGCATAGCCCAAGCAGCGAGCGTGGAACCCTCTTTGCCAGGGGAAGTCGCGTGGTGCGTGATCTTTGTACTACGCGACAATTTACTACAAAACCCTTGTCTGTTAACATACGGCGTTAGGTGTGCCGTGGGAAGCTTTGCGCTATGAATCAAGAAAAGAAAGGTATCGGTAGGGATCAGACACACAATTCAGTTGTGGTTTCTGATCCCGCCAATAGAAAGGGTGATTTCTTGTTCACTTAAATTTACGTCACAAGTGTTAGACTACAGTTCAAGACAACAATCAACGTCCTCTATGCTTTCGATGGCCTGATCATTTGGTTGTGACAGCCAGACTGCATAACGCGCGGGCACGTACTTGTAGGCTTGAACTATGCCCTTGTACTGTTCGAGCAGGTGCGTGTGAGGAAGCAGGCCAACCATGGCTCCTATGAAGCCGCCAGTGAGACCTGCCAAGCCGGCTGCTTTCCTGCCCGCCTCGCTAAGAAACCAACGTGAAGCCATGATTCCGAGCGTGCGATGAACCTGCAAACTGGGGAGTAGAGAACTTTGCAAATGCTGGCTACGGTAACATCTTTTATACGTAACAATGACGAAATCGTCACTCAGTCTAGCTAATCTGTGAACAGGGCCAGCCGACCATTGCTAAAGACGCCAGAAACATTCGTAAATGGGGCTGCGCGACATTGCTGCCAGCCAGAACGCGGCCACTATTGATTGGTGACTAAAACAGCCAAAATACGGAGGTTTATCGCCACCCATAAGCACTACATAACTCTACCGATGAGATTCGGTTGCTGCGATCGAATCGGTGAACGAGGATAGAACTGATAGGCCTTGAAAGTTCACTATTACAGTTTGTGAAGTGATATATTGGGATTGAGCTTTACGATTATGTTCACAATAATTGAAGATGCGTACTTACAGCGCGAGAAGTTACTAGTAAAACGAAAGCGCCAACTTAATTATACTTTCCCTATCTATATTCTGCACCCGGTTGATCAACGATCGACGAAACATACGCGAGACAAGCAACTTATCCAGACCGTGTTACCGGTCAAAACGGAGTATTTCGTTTGCTTCGACTGAGTTTGGCGTAATTATCAATGAACTAACATGTATCTTTTTTTGCATGATTTGACATGCACGGTAGAGTTACGGTAATAATGAATATCCTAAAAGTAAGCAGTATCGTCTGCTAGGCATTACGGATTTGCACGGAATGATACCCAAAGGTGCGCCAGAACGCATACGCGCACGCCGCCAGAGGCACGTCGCACCACTACATGTTATCAAGGCATCAGCAACTTCACAATGAATGCTTACGTCTTGTGATCAAAGGAACTCCGAAATATTAATTTACTGTACCGCAGGCCGCTTCAAAGTTGCACGAGTTGAAACGAGCTATTCCGCGTTACGCACATGGCCATAAGTAGGCTCGACCTGATTTGACTGCTAACTTGACTTCTCGAAACAGCAATGTTGCAAAGTCGAATCAAGCCAAAGCCAGTATAACTTTCGCATCCGGTTGCTTGCTTGTCGAAATGGCGGACAACGACGCCACAGATGCGAAGTCACGAGAAAGACGCGTAAGCATTTGCGTTTTGCCTTCTTGAAACCCTTAAATGGAAATACTAGCAGGCTGCCAGACCTTCCGTATAGTTTGTTGCTGTGTGCGCTCAAACGTACCTCAGCGAAAATGTGTAGCGTTAAGACGGAGACCATTTATGAAGCGATGAGCAGCGATGGTAACGACTTCAGTGGAGGTGGGAACACTGAAACAACGGTGCACTATGGACAAGACATGCACAGTTATTGCAAGGCTCTACCTGCGAAGGAAGCCAAAGCACCGGCAGGCACAGCTGTTCGCTCGGACAGCGAGACGGACAGCTGCGTTGAAGACCACGGATCCGAGCGCTCGGAGGAAGAAGAAATCGTGTACTGCATCTGCCGCACGAGCGATACCACCAGGTTTATGATCGGTTGCGACAACTGCAACGAGTGGTACCACGGTGACTGCATCAGCATAACAGAATCGTACGCCAAGAACATATTGAAATTTTTCTGCCTCATATGCCGCGACAGGGACCCGACGCTCGAGATCAAGTTCAAGGAGCGCAAGGAGAAGTCTCATTCCTCGCACGAAGAGCACAGGAGTCGAAGCAAGTCCCGGGACTCTAGAGACGCCGGCGCGTACTCTCCTACGAGGCACAAAGACAGGTCGCACCGCTCCAAAAAGAACAAGCGTCGAAAGTCCACACGACAGTGCGGAGAATGCACCGCATGCTACATGACCGAGGACTGCGGCCGATGCGACTTCTGCAAGGACATGAGAAAGTTCGGCGGGCCGAACAAGATCAGGCAGAAATGTCGGAAGCGACAGTGCCTCAACTTCGGTCTTATACTGGGCAAGAAACCGGTGTCATCTCCGAAGCGGTCCAAGGCCGGGCACGATGACGATTACGATCCCGATCAAGATGGGGCCAACGACGGTTCCGACCTGCCGAACGACTACGTTGACGACGACTACGAACCGGAACTCAAGCGTTCCGCCAAGAAGCCTCGTCACAAGCGCAGTCCGACCAAGAGGGGAGACTCGAAGGCAGACTCGAAGCGCGCCCGAAAGGAGGAACACAAACGGGAACACCGCAGCGATAAAGAGAAGAGTCGCAAGGAGGATGACGTGCCGAGGCAGTGCTACGGCCCCGGCTGCACGGCGGCCTCACGGCCGGGCTCCAAGTACTGCAGTGACGACTGCGGCCTGAAGCTGGCCACCAACCGCATCTACGAGGTGCTGCCACATCGAATTCAGCAGTGGCAGTCGAGCGTGTGCCACGCGGATGAGTTGAACCGGCGCCAGTTGGAACATATCCGTAAGCAGCAGATGGATGCTCGGAGCACACTTCAGCAGCTCGAAGCCAAGCGAGCTGAACTGGAGAAGCTAATTGTCAGAGCAAAGCAGACGCCTTTGGCCGAAGATGAGGAAGCTGCAGATGACTACGAGGAAAGCGAACTGAGCACTTATTGCGTCACATGTGGGCATGAAGTGAGCGCCCGCGTGGCGATGCGCCACATGGAGAAGTGCTTTAACAAGTACGAGAGTCAAAGCTCATACGGCTCTGTGTACAAGACTCGCATTGAAGGCGACAACGTGTTCTGTGACTTTTACAACCCACACCAGAAGACCTACTGCAAACGACTGCGAATCCTGTGCCCAGAGCATTCGAAAGAGCCTAAAGTGAGCGATGACGAAGTGTGCGGCTTTCCGATTGTGGCAAATGTGTTCGAGCACACTGGTGAATTCTGCAATGTACCGAAAAAAAGGTGCTCGAAGCACTACTGCTGGGACAAATTTCGACGGGCCGAGATTGACATGGAGATTGTGAGGCAGTGGTTGAAACTGGATGAGCTGTACGAGCAAGACCGCAACACGTTGTTATCAATGACAAGTAGAGGTGGTGTCCTGGGACTGATGTTACACCAAACATTATCGCACGACGCACTTTATGAAATGCAAGCACCAATCCAGACCTGATTCATCGAGTATCATCAAAGCATCCTAATGCTCCATTGCCTTCATTAGCCAGATCCAGTGATTAGTCACTTACTCGTTTGGGTTTGATTGCTTTTGCATGAAAATACATCTAAATTTCACTCATATGCGTCTGTGTAGTCATTGCTCGCCACCATTCACAAGATCAGCCATTTTCTTTTATTTCAGATACTAGAACTGAAAGTCTTGCAGCATGAAATTAACTGCCTCAAGAGGGATGCTGTAAGTCAGAAATAGCATTTTGATTGCAAACTCTACTACAGATGCCCCTGTGATATGCTTACAGTGTGTCTACAAGCAGCAGCCAAACAGCAACATCTTCTTCAAGTCCACTCTGGCGGATGTTGAGCAAGATACAAAGAGTTGAGTGTGTCTTGGAGATAACTTCTTCTTCAAAGAAAGGAATGTCAGGCTTATGTAGCTTTCTCATTCTTTCAGGAAACTTGGATCTATTGCAAGCACGGCAGAAGACTGAACCATCCAAGAAGACCGGCTCAGATTGACACGGCTTTGTCTTTCAGAATTGACATACAGCGACATAGGGTTCTGTGAAATTTAACAAGATGCAAATAATTTAAGAAGTGTTCAGACATTAAATTTTCATCAGCAATTTGTGCACTGAAGATGCGTGACCAAGCAAAAGAAGAAATACTACCCGTTTCTTGTGTTACCTCATTAATGACAAATGCAAATAAAGTGTAAATGAAGTGGTAGTCTAATTCTCAGAACATTTATTTGCAAAAGCCAAGCACAGCCACAAAAACTGGGCATCTTCAGTACAAATGTGAAGAAAAAAAAGGTAACTACGAATAGCTAATCTTCGAAGCACATGCAAATTTGACTTGCCGAGTCGTCATGCAATGCTGCAACCTGCATGTGCTGAAGTGGAGCTGGAATTCTTGTCGTGTCTGTTACTACCTTCCCTAGTAGCATAGCAGATAGGGTATTCCAATTTTCCCTCCTAACTGGTCGACGCAATGGTCCTTTTCCTAGTCCGAACAGCACCCGAAGTGGAGATCCTCGAAGTCAAAACTGGTGGCTCTTGGACTCCGAAATGGTCCTTTGCATGCCGGAAGGCACTCTCTGAGGCCTGCGTTCGCGCCTCTTCTGGGGGAAAACATTTGCATGTTTGCGGCACGACCTGAGGAGGTCGTGGTGCATGCCACGACCTCCTCTATAGAGGAGGTGGTGGTGGTAGTGATTAGAATGAAGAGGAAAAAGGCACCTAATTTCTGTCTGCCTTCAGGCGACACGGCGCAGTGCCTTACAGGGGGTGGGGGGAAGGAGGGATAAAAAGAATAGAAGGAAAGTAGAAGCAGAAGAAGACAGCCAACGAGAGGAAAAAGAAGGAGATAGGAAAGTGGGGATCCGGTCGAAGCAGTCCAAGGGCGGGGTGCCACAATGCGAGAGCTACACGGCGTCAGGAGACCGCGGAGGGCGAACCAGTCGGCGGGAGCTACGCTGAAGTCGGAGATCGCGAGGGCACAACCGTCCAGCTTGAAATCCTGCGAGCGAATCCTATAGAGGAGGTCTATAGAGGAGTCTGTGCATGCCACGACCTCCTCTGTAGAGGAGGTCGTGGCATGCACAGACTACCTACCCGGAAAAGGCCCATTCATGAAAAGAGAAAGTAAAAAAAGAAAGACTTCTTCCGTGAAATAGAGTTTATACAATAGGTGTATGAAACTCTACGCATGAAACAGTCACTCGCAAATGTGCAAAACATCCCACAAGTGCGCGCTGCATTTTTACGGTGATATTGATATGTGAAGCTAGTGAAAGCGTGAAAACAAAGCAAAAATATTCTGGAAATATAAAGTAAATCAGAAGCGGAATGGTTCAGAAAGCAAAACCCAGTGTATAGGTGCAGCAAAAGAACTTGGGCTTGATAAACCTAATTTTTTAAACATACAATAATACCGTGCCTGCAATTATTTTTTGTAGTCCTAGGAGCAAGTTTTAAAGCATGTTTTACGGCTTTTCCAACGTCATAACCGTCATTTTTGAGGCATTTTGGTCTTCCGTCGAAGTACGAAAACGTGAAAAAGCCAATCCAAGCCAACCTGTCCGATGTATATAAAATGGCGTGCGCTGCAATCGCCGCTTCTTTCGACGTTCCTCGTGCGTACGTGGTGAGCAATGACTCTGCGACATAACGGCACCGAAGCTTCCGTAGAAAGGTTCGTTTTATCTTCAACGTATAGTTTCAACAGTTCATTGTGTGGTACGGGGATCTTTCGTGGCTGGCATTTGTAGCATTTCCACTTGCTTCAGTGGCGAGGACTTAAGTTATAGTGAGTGCGTCCCGCGATCTGCAATATGCCTAAACCGTGCGAATCTCGGTAATGCGAGGTGAAATCGACGTATGAAGTTACGACAGGCAGTAAAAGAAACACACACGCTTCACGTTGACGATCGATTGAGTGAACTTTTCACCGATTGACTTGGATTTCGGTGCCGTAGTTGACACCGGCGTGCGGCCGCCATGTGGGTTTTGTTGGAGGTGGCGGGAAATGTGATGAACATGTATGCCATTCCTGAATTACATTGATGCTGGAATGTATTAGCTCTAACTGAAGTTTCTAAGACATCGCGCCGACGCCGTTCATTCCGCGACAATTCTCACCTTGCTATTTTTCTTGTGCAGCATGTTCCAAGACAATCGGCCACTGGAGACGCGACTTCGTTATCGGCATGGTAAGTTTCTGCGATGCCCTGTTTGTTTTAATGGTGCCTTGATGATATTTTGTGGGAATCTCACTGAATTCTTTGATCGACATTAAGTACTATCTGAGTTTCCGTACCTCGTGTTTGGTAACTTCCATCGCAAATTGTCCTCTAAGTACCTTTTTTTTTTTTTTTAATCTTCAGGTTTACCGTCCATCTTGGCCTCTGCAGCGTCTGGATTCTGGCTGAATAATGTGAGGTTCTCATTTAATTTCTCTCTCTTCGATAGAACTTGGATCATCAAAAATAGCTTGTTCAGAGTTCTTCGTGGCCTTAAGCTTTTGTTATGTAACCTCATGCATTTCTGGTTTTCTAGCACTCAGAAAAATAGTGCGTTAATCTGGCTTGACTGAACTACAATCGTGAAAGAATGGGTGTATAAAAAGTTATATGATGACCTTATTGAACTCTCTCACCGAGTAGTCGTGTGGAAAATCAGTATCTGATGGTGTAAATGTTGTCAGTTTTATTCATCAGTCGCTTTCTTTTGTCTAACCTTTTCTTCCTGCATGTAAAATTTGTGCAGCTTCAACCGTACTGCTATCAGGCTTGGACCTTCTACCATTGGAGCACTTAAGTGTTTCAGGTTTGTAACTCATTGCTTGTATTTAGTGGTCTTGACAATGCATGATGATTACATAGTTCAGCAGACATCTCTGACGATATCACATGTTTGGTCTTTCGCTCCTATCTGAGTGGACAGATTTTGGATTTTCAGAACCATTCACTGCTTGGTGTGTAACGTTTGGCAAATTCTATGTGCAGTGCCTGTGGAACTCTTCAGATCTTGCGATGTCAACAGGTAGCAGCAGGTGAGTGAATTTGTGTTTGCTTTTACATGTAATGAGATCTGTGATGACTTATTTGCTACTGCTGAATTTAATGTAGAATATATTGGGCTGATTCTATCCTCTTAAAATCGAGTGCCTATGGGCTTTTTCTTTATTAACTAATGTGCAATTTTTTCAGGTGTTCATAATGGAGATGCAGCTGGTGCCATGGTGCTTGTTCAATAGTAAGCTTTCACACAATATAGTGATCATTTGGATGTGAATTTGTTTAAAATTGTGCTTGTCAAGGGTTCAGTGTCATTACGCCAGTTTACTTTGCATTTGGCGTGATCACCTTGCAAATTTTTTCGGGTGCAGGTGCACGCGACTGCGCTGTGGTGAATAAATTTCAGGTTCAGAGGTTGATTTCTCATTAACCCTTCACTTCGATGCCCACTGTTCCTTCACGGCAACAACCCTAAAAATATTTTTTTCAGGAAGCACACCCTGCTGCTTTACCCTTCTGGTGCTATATTTGGCTCAAGAAAAGCGCTACAGAGCTTTGAAAATGCGTGAAAGTGCATTGCGTTTTTGTATTGTTTGTTTCAGTGTCTGAAAGGTGGTAAAAAAAAGCTCCACACGAAAAAGGAAATTTATAAGACTACAGTGAAACAGGATGCTACTGCGACACCTGTTGTACCTAAAGCGACTCTGAAGGCGTTTATAACATTTATGAGCCCGCCGATTAGTGTGGCCGCTTGTTACATTACAGAAACCTTGATACAAAAAACGTTATTGCTCACGATCAACATTAGGCTTGAATGGAAGTAGAACCAAAAATGGGAAGACGTGATTGTATCAAATGTGCGGAGCTGTTAAATTAATCATTTTAAGTGTGGGAGAAAAATCTATCATTAAGGACCGGTTGAGCTCTTCAACTTCTTCTTCCTCGTCTGCATCACTCCCAGAACAAGCATGCGTATGAGTCCAGCATGGGAAATAAAAGAACCTTTGATTTACAAAAATGTCTGCGTGGTTAAGTGACCTTTTTAGATTTATTATCGTGTAAATGTGAAAATAATTTTCATTCTTTAAAATGGCAATATATTCTAGTTTTGTAGCGTTTTTTTCAAGGCTACCCAATACAGCCCAGTCCCCCAGTGACTGTGTGTACATTTAAATCTCAATCATTTATGGTGCAACCTGCATCTACACCTTATTCCAGGCCACTACTGCTGGAAGGCATTCCACGTGAAGTAGTACCATAGGTGCCCAATGTTGTTGCTCAGGAGCAACAACTCGTTACTTAGCTAAAAATGCTCATAATTTTCTAAGAATATTGGCATATTTCATTATTTCCTGGGCATCAAAGGGTTAAGGTCATTTTTTTTTTCACTACAAGTTGTCCTTGCTGCAAACCTTTTAATAATGTTCAAAATTGTACCCGACTGTTGTACTTCACTACTGTGATGATCTCCCTCCAATACCTATGTTTATGAGGACTTCACCAAGATCTCTGAGAATCGTCTTTCTGCATGCTTTATGGACATACTGTTTTCCATTGTGTGAAATATTTATTCGGTCTTTCTAGGTTAGTGCACCTGACATCAAGAATCCTGGCATATAAAGTCTGAATCGCTGTGGTGAGCAATAGCTGACAATGCCCTCCATATTCTTATCATGCTGTGATGATCAACATCCAATGCCTATGTTTATGAGGACTTCACCAAGATCTCTGAGAGTGGCTTCTGAAACTTGCTAGCTTGGCGCATTTTTCTTTTCTCAATGAAAAGTTTTTTTTTTTTTTCTTTTCATTCCAGGTTAGTAAGCAGGATACCAAGTCCCAGCACCTTCCTTTGGTAAGTTTATAGCATGACGATCGGCCCAGGTTTTTTTTTGAGCAGTGCAAGGCATGTGGTAAAGGGAGCTGCGAATTCATATTTTTATATGACCCCTTCTGTGCACTGCTTCATGAATTAAAGGGACACTAAGTATAGGTCAGTTGCAAGTGTCATTGGTGCAACAATGTAAAGCAAGCACACTGCTTGCCAACAATGAAACAAACAATTTTTGTCATAATTTTAATTAGCAGAAACTGGATTTGGCATATCTGCTGCTTTAGTTTTGTCTGCCAGCATGCAGTTTTTTGCAAAAAGTTAATTGCTAATGATTGTATGTAGTGTCCCTTTAACACTTTGGAATCATTTTTGTCTTGAACATGGCTTTCACATGATGTTGCTTGAGTATTTGCTACCCTGAGAGAGCAATGCGGAGAAATACATTTTCTGATTAGCCTTGAGTTAGCATTCATTTCTCCTTTCTGCCTTGCAGGCCTCTGACAATAATGTGTTTTATGTGTTTACAGGTGCTTCCTGTGGATCTACAGTTTTGAAAGGTATGTTCTCTTCAGTGTGTACAAGCATGCTCCTAAATATGAGTGATGATATTCAACAGATAGGGACAGCTGAAACCTGTGATTGCATTAACTGTTTCTGATAATTCACAGAAGGTTAAAGCAACTTGTGTTTTAGGTGTAGTGCTGATGGGCTCTTTTTTCTCTCCATGCAGGTAAGCCACCTGCTTCCTGTCTGAGGTCCCTCTCTGTGGGTGTTTGAATAAAAGGTTTAGTCAACTGAAATGTCTTGAATCATCTGCCCTACTAGCTTTTGCTTCGTGCCAAGCATAGCTGACAGTGGCAACCTGCAAACATGTACACACATGTAGTGAGTGGCCGTAGCATGAAACAAGTATGTTTTGGAGGCTGTTGGTTGAGCTAGCATTGCTGTTTGAGCACTGCCAGTTATCTTTACCAGGTTCGGTGTATAGCTTTATTGGTATGTACTTGTGCCGGTTTCTCATTGCGTACATTAATGTGACACATTACCAACGCGACTTAACAATTCTTGCACATCCTAAATGATGACGATTGTACGGTCGCTTGTGGTTTTTGCATGTTCAACCTACTTAATTTTTTTTAACTTTGCATGATCTTGCGAGATTATTAGGATGTTTAGACTGTGAGTGCGACAGATAGCTGACTACTTTGGTCTCGGTGGTTTCTGCCAATTTCACTGGTGTCGTTAGGTTGGGTGTAGCGCTATGATCCTCGTCGACTTGTTTCCTCTACGGCTTGATCTGGCTAGTTACTGTAACTAGGACTGCAGAAAGTACAATCCAAGCAGTGCTAATGTCATTGATAGCAGTTAGGTCGCTGGCTTACTTTGTTATTGTAACTGAGAGGCTTTGCGTGTGTGTACCCTCGCCATGGCCAGGTGTCTTGCAGCTGCTGTAGCCACAAGGGCAGGATGTAGTGGGCATAGATCGGCAAACTCTTCGAGTCGACTCGCTCAAGCACACTCCGACCCAGGTCAAGCCGAGAGTTCGAGCGAGTCGGGAATATTTTTGGATAGTCTGAGCACGATTGCGGACAACAATTACGGGTCTTTCGTCGGAGAGCCCTAAGCGCTGCGTATATTTCGTGAGTGAGCTCCACCTTTTATTGCCCACCTATGATGCCCACCTATGACCGTAGCATTAAATCTGCTTACGTCTACACATTATTATATATTCACACATGCCTCAACGCATAATTAAGTGTTCATGCGCCACCGCAGCGTTTATTGATGAGAGGCGATTGGGAGGGGGATCTTCTTACCTCTCCTCACACTTTCACTGACATTTTGGCAATATGTCATGTTCCTGACTGGGTTTGAACCACTGATAACTTTTATCCGAATGTAAACGATCTGAAGGCGTATCGTTGGCCACTGATTGTGTGAAATACAGGTGTTAACGCGAAATTCTACCATGCTCTGAAAAGCTAATTTTATGCCAGTGGACTGTCGATCCACTTCGGCTCAGTCTGACTGCTCAAGCCACGAGTCCGGATGAGCAATATGTTGGCAAGTTCGAGTGAGTCTTGTTCCGAGAATGTTGAGTCCAGTTGAAGAAACTTGGGTGTGTCGTAGTGAGCTCCAGGAGCAAGATATATTTCGTGAGAAAGTCTAAGTTCAGGTATTTTTACCGGATGTTTGGTGTCATATGAGAGGGGTGGTCTTACTGTGCTGGGAGACGTGCTCTAAGGAGGGAGTGGGACTCTCCAACAAAAGGACAATGCTGTAATCTTTGCATACATCGTGTGTCTGAATCCAGCTTCCAGGGATATAAAAGGCAAGTTGTGATCCGCTGGCCCCTAATTGACGGCAGATTCTGATCCGATGTTATGTAGTGGTTCGGGTTCGCGCCACGAAATTTGTGTTTACTGTGGCGGCTGTGCGTTTGTTTCGAGAAAGGTCTTCTTATGCGAGGGCCTGTGACGGAGAAGCTATCGGGGGGGGGGTCTCAGCAGGAGTCTCTAATTCTTGTTTTTAATCGCCAAAAGTAGCAAATGCTTTTTATGAAGTTCAGCTTTCCCCGAATGCGCAGTTTTCACTGCGCAATCTATAAATAAATTTATAGAATGTGCAGTAGGTGTCGTTTACATGCCTCCTTTAACGTGCGGTCGTTATTATATAGGTCAGACTGGACATTGCATAAATAAAACGTTTGGGAGAGCACATGAACGATTTGTGCAAAGGGATAAGTTCCAACTTTGTAATGAATTGTAAAAATGGCGGGTGCCAGCTTCGATTTCAGGCCGTGAGTGTGCTGGAACGCCATATGGACAAATTAACATGTGAAATCGCTGAGGCGTATCATGTTAAGGTATCAGGTGACGAATGCATGAGCCAGCCTTCGGTGGCTTTGCATGAAAAAAAAAAAAAAAACAACGATTTGGGATAGAGGTTAGTCCTTTTATCATTTTGCCTTTGTTTATACCGGACACTCTCCAGAACTATGTCACGTTGCTCAAGTTTGCTTGTTAAAAGATTTTGCCTGTTTGTATATAATAACATGTGTACTGCGAGAAATAAAGTCAGTTGGTAGTCGGCGCTCGTGTTGTTCCTCTTTGTCTTCCGTACGCTTTTCTTCCAGCACTTTCGTGCTTGCGCTGCAACCCCCATTTAACGACATGTACAAATGGCTGCTGTTTAAGGTCGCTCTCAATGTCACACATGTTCCCTATTGCAAAATATCGAATCAAGGTAGTGTTAGTTGGGTGTAAATTGCAAAACTACATAGCGTCGATTTCGATATATTCTTCACAATCTGCTTAGAAATGCTTAATCACTGTTACCCCCCCCCCCCCCCCACGAGCTGTTTTCTGAATGCTTTTGGGAAACTTACCCGAAACGGTAAAACGTTCCGTTGCAACACTTCAGGCGAGACTATGTATCAAAAACGGTGGTTATTCTGATCTTACGAATGTTTCTATGCATTCAAACGAAAATTCGGTACAGCTCAATTTCCAGTTTCCCGCCAAAAATGTGTTAACTGGAGGTGATTACTGCGTGACTTCACTCTTTTCGAAATTGCACCTATATACATGAACTATCGAAACGCTCTGCTGAAAATTACCGGTGAATTTCGAAAAAAAAAAGAAAGAAAAGAACATAAACTTTGTGTGACCGCCCTGAACGAAGCCTCGTGCGTTGTGGACATTATAGTGATCACAAAGATTACAGTGCAGTGACATACCGGAGAACGTTGCGCGAGAAAAAGTGCTGCCGCTGGATCCAGCGGTAATGTACCTTGGCCAAGGTTTTGAACCCTTACCGAACACGAGAACGCCGTGATTTTTAGTCGCACACAGCCCATTTCTCAACTGCAATGGGACACGCATTTGATCGAGCTTCACTCGCTGTATATCTCAGCAGTTTATTTATTTATTTATCACATACTGCGGACCAAGTATGGTCCATGCAGGAGATAAGTTCCAACGCCAATGCTAGTCATCAGGCCATTGGTGATAGCGTTGCCACCAGAGGTTGTATCAAAAACTGCCTCGCAGCCATCCAACTGACTCTTTCGAGTGTACTTTTTTATTCCTCTATTTGTGGGAATTTTCATTGTCGGCAATATCTCCACAGGGGTGCGAAGGAATACCATTCAATTTGGGGGGGGGGGGGGGGAGCTTGTAGCGCCTCCCCCTTCATAATATGTGTCAATGTCTGGCTGTCTTTGCCCTCCCACGATTCGCAATGCCCCCTCCCTGTTGCCAATGTTGCTGACTTTGCGCCCCTCCCTCTTAGGAGACTGGGGGGGGGGGGGGGGGGACCGCTCTCTTCAGTGTTCACGCCCATATATATGAATTTATGAATCCCATCATTTATTCCACTGTCTCGTTCTTAGCTTAACATGTGAAAGATATGGGGTACGAATACATAACCTTCACTTATATATACTTTTAAATACAACTCCAACTATTAGCATGACAGCCCGTTGCGTACCATTTATATTTACCATACAAATAGTATGACGCGATTAAAAACGGCAACGGAGTTAAACGCCCACTGACATGTGTGACATACAGAAATGTGAAATGTCTATAATATGCCGGAGGTTATAATAAAACACAGCACGACGTTCTACGGCAAATGAATTGTCAAATTATCTGTTGCTCTATCTTTATATGCTAGCCACATGGGGAGTGGTCAACACTATTCCGATTGACGTAGGGAACACTGCGAGCTAGCCCCGCCGCGGTGGTCTAGTGGCTAAGGTACTCGGCTGCTGACCCGCAGGTCGCGGAATCGAATCCCGGCTGCGGCGGCTGCATTTCCGATGGAGGCGGAAATGTTGTAGGCCCGTGTGCTCAGATTTGGGTGCACGTTAAAAAACCCCAGGTGGTCGAAATTTCCGGAGCCCTCCACTACGGCGTCTCTCATGATCATATGGTGGTTTTGGAACGTTAAACCCCACAAATCAATCGTTTTTCTCTGTTGCTTCCCTTTAATGTAGCACCATTCAGCCTTTTTTTTTTTTTGAACAATTTTAATAAATACACGTGGACAAACATTTTTCGCGTGTTTACTATCCGCGTGGCCAGCACCAACGTTACTGTATCAACGTACGCGTACTTATACCCATTCACCACTGAAAGGGACTCTCATTCATAACATGCAGCAAGACGGGGGATACCTGAGCGATGTCGCTTGCGCAGCCGTGCTTTTTTTTTCTTTGCACGCGCGGCGCGTCGAGGATGAAGCTGGTCCGTTTGCCTCTGCGCGGGTGTTCTCATAGCCGTATCGGCATCGGCCAACGGTGAGCTTTTTGCCGCATATTGTGCGCGCTGCGGTTGCTAGATTTATTGCTTCTGTAAAGAGACGTTTTCAAAGCAAAATTATTTGCGCCTGTGCTCACGCCCCGTGATGTGTGGCTTTAACTACTGCTGTCGTACGATACGCGAGAAATGTATACGGCGTCCTTATGTTTCCCAGATCACTTCAGTTCAACATCTTATTCAACATCTTTCATATGTTTTGTTCAGGGCTAAAAAGCTTGAGAAAAAATGTTTGTTAATTTTATGGAAAATTTTGTCGATATATCTACCTATATATTTCGTTATACACATTCCGCCCATCTGCCAGCCAGCCCCCCGAAAGTAGAAGACGTTTATATTTCATTGAGCACGCATTATTAATACGCGCACAGTACTTGAAGCAACGGGAACTATCGAGAATATACTAAGTAAAATAAATATTCTTGCTCATATTGTTGTTATTATTCTTGTGACATTGCTGGTGTTTGGTA